AAGATTGGTGCTGAGGATGGTCAACGGTGTGTGCAGGGATCCATTCACTTTATTCTCGTTCTTATCGTGAAGCACGCCATCTTTGAAAAGAATATGTCTAAAAAGCATATTCGGAAGCCACTGGGAGTCCAAACCAGAAGCCGCTTCCACCAATCCACGAGGACGTCTCTCCATTATGGCTCCAGGGCACAGTATTAATTATTAACCACTCCCTAAATGCACCAGGTTTATTTGAGAATTTTGATTACAAAACATCAGACGAAGAAAGTTTAACTGTAAGAAGCAAAAAACCAAAGAACTCCCGTAAGTTAGACTTAGGTTGTGTTTGGATGAAACCAAACCATGGTTCAGAGAATAGCTTTTGGAGATTGGGAAGAATAGATTTTGTAAAATTTTGAGAAGTGAGTGTTTGGATAGTTGTTATCAAAAGTACTTTTTATATATACAAATTACTAAAAAAAACATAAGTTAATATGATAATTATATAAAAGATAAATTTTATGATATATTTTAATTTGAAGGAATAAAATTGTTAATAATATATTTTTTACCAACATAATTAATAAGACATAAGATAATGTAATTAATAAGTAATTAATACGTGTATATATGTTTATAAGATATAAGGTTAAATATGTTTATAAAAAAATAATTGAGAAATGTTAAAGTCATATTATTGTTGAGATCCACTCTGACAGGCACAATCATCTTTCCAATTTGAGCCAGAAGCAGAATGAATTCACTTCTCCTGAAACCATGGTTTTGGATTCCAAAATCATGGTTTCAGATTATTGGCCCAAAATTGATGCTGTTTGGGTGACATCTCACCAAAACCATGGTTTTGCCTCCCAAACCATGGTTTTGAGGGTCACCCAAACAGACTCTTAGAAGGTGTTTGTAGTTTGAAAAATAACTTCAGGAAAAAAGATTTTTAGAAGAATAGATTTTATGAAAAATAAATTTTGCAAAAAAGTAATTCTGATAAAGTGAGAGTATTTAGATAGTTGTTATCAGAAACATTTTTTATATGTGCGAATTACTAAAAAAAAGCACAGATTAATATGATAATTATATAAAAGATAGATTTTATAATATATTTTAATTTAAAGAAATAAAATTGTTAATAATATATTTCTTAACAACATAATTAATAATATATAAGATAATATAATTAATAAATAATTAATATGTGTATATATATTTGTAAAGTATAAGATTAAATATGTTTATAAAAAAATAATTGAGGAGTGTCAAAGTAATTTATCATTGAGATATATTCTGATAGGCACAATTATACTTTCCAATTTGAACCAAAAGCATAGTGGATTCACTTTTTTTAAAACTATAGTTTTGAGTCTGAAATTATAGTTTTTGTCCAAAACCATGGTTTGTTAATTTTCCTCTTGTTTGGTGGTTTGGGTCTCAAAACAATAGTTTCCTATGCTACCCAAACATGCCCTTAACATGTGAATCTATAGTAGTCAATCCACATCAATTCCAGCGTCTATAAGAAAACGGAGGCGCCCTTAGTTGAATAATTGCATATACTATCCTCAAATCTAAATATTACCTCTGATCTTTAATACAAGAATTAGTTAATTGATTTGAGTAGATTAAAAAAATTAGTTAAATTATTTATTTGTAATAACTAATTATTACTTTTCCTAAAATATCTTTACTAGTTAAATGTATTAGCTAGAACTATCATTATTATAAAGATTGGCTTGGAAAAAAATAGATAAATATGAAAAATAAAGTAGATTGGGATATTATATTTAGGATCAAAATAAAAATCAAATAAGTTTTTATATTAAAGATCAGAAGTAGTATCATCCTTAAATCTAACTATCTTTTTTAATATTAATATAACTGTATATATTTCACCGACGAAAATAACCCAAATTCCTTTTTCCTGTACAAATGGCATAAAAATATCTTTTTCGGGAAAATTTAAAAGCATGATTTAATGATTAATTAACAAAGTGATGAACACCAACTCAAGGTTTTTTCATTACAATTGATAGGAAACGGAATAGTAACAGAATTGGGAGGAAAGCAGGGGTCTATCAAATATAAATACCAGTAATCCCACCGCCATATTGACAATTTCTCCATCAAAGCTCACCGCCCCTGCCATTCCTAAGCTCTCCGAGAGACAGACAAGAAGAAGAAGAAGAAGTAACCATGCTTGTTTATCAGGATATGCTTACCGGTAAATCTTTGATCTTCGATCGTCTTCTTTGGCTGAGTCAGCAACTTGTTTTTACTCTGAATTTGATGTTCGCGTAAACAATAAGCTGTTGCCTGGAGTCGACTTCATTATATCTTCGTGTTTACGTTTATATTTTGATTTCATAAAATTTTATAGGATCCATTTCTTTAGACATATTATAGTATGTGTGACCTGACGAGGAATGGACTGGTTGGGGACATGTGATTTTCCGACTGATAGATATTATCGCCGGACGGATTAGGTAAATACCATTGATTGCATAATATTCTCTAGATACTTGCACTCATGTGATGAATTTTCAGGTGATGAGCTTCTCTCGGACTCATTCCCATACAAGGAGATTGAGAATGGAATGCTGTGGGAGGTGGAGGGAAAGGTTGGGAATTATTTAGCATTTATTTGCATAATTATGGGTCCTCTGTTCCTCTGCCTGCTTTAATTTTTTGATGTCGGAGGATATTATGGCTTACCAAGTCAATGTTGCTGCTGGCAGTGGGTTGTGAAAGGGGCAATCAATGTAGACATTGGCGCTAATCCTTCGGCAGAAGGCGGTGAAGATGAAGGTGTAGATGATCAAGCTGTCAAAGTGGTTGATATTGTCGACACTTTCAGGCTTCAGGTAAGCAGTATTTCTTATTCTGTTTTAACTAAGTTTTGCCAGTGTTGTGTGTGAATGGAAATTTGCTTTTTCAGGAACAACCCGCGTTTGATAAGAAGCAATTTGTTAGTTACATGAAGAAATATATTAAGTTGCTGACACCCAAATTAGAGCCGGAGAAGCAAGAATTGTTCAAGAAGCACATTGAAGGGGCAACCAAATATCTCCTCTCGAAGCTCAGTGATCTCCAATTGTAAGTTTCACAGTCTCATGATTCCATTCCCTGATGTTATCGTGTCCTTGGGCCGATGATACTTGATTAATAGTGGCCATCTTTTCACATAAAATTATACTGACTGATTGGCCACAATGTGGCAGTTTTGTGGGAGAGAGTATGCACGATGACAGCACCGTCGTGTTTGCATACTACAAGGAAGGTGCTACCGATCCAACTTTTATCTACATTGCCTACGGATTGAAGGAAATCAAGTGTTAAAAGAGTTCTTGGGCTGAGATAGCAAACTTCAAGCTGTTAATCAGCTTACCGTAGAACATCTAGTTATGTCTAGAGGTGGTGAGAACCTATGTTACTTTTGTTATGAGTGTGTGTATTTGGATCGAATCGTGTACGCTTTGGATTTTCGGAGAATTCGCTTGTTTGGATGTCATCTCACATGCCTTAGTTTCTCCTTTTTTTTCGCGTGGTAATAATTTAGCTGAGATATTTGTGACTTGGCGGTGGCCTGATTTGTTAGGTCGGGTGATTAAAATAACATCATTCATATGAAAAGGCAGCTAATAAATAGGAGCATGCCGTTGCTCAGATTCATGGAGCATTACCGACTGTTTTGCCCAGTTGAATCTCTAGACTAGTTATACCTTGAACAATTTTTTTCCCCAGCAATTGTCCTTGAACAATTTTTTTCCGCGAGACATGTAGATTAGCCTTAGGGCGACTACAAGTCTAAGGGAAGAACCTAATCCCAAAAGACTAGCTTATTAGAAGAAGAGCGTTTTGAACTTATAAACCCTAAAACATTTGTGAGATTTCCTAATATAGGGTTCATAACAAAGCACTTCTCTCGAAAGCCAACGGCTCTACTTTACGGCACTTCACTCGGTCTTCTTACTAGTCAGAACCCTTCGCAGGTGGCCTTTTTCGGTTGGCTAACTCTCAATGAAAACACTAATGTGATGAGCATAAGTCTAAAGAAAGAATCCAATCCCAAAAGTAGTTTATTAAGAGGGAGAGTCTCTTGAACTTATAAACCCTATAACACTTGTAAGATTTCCCAATATGAGACTTATAACACGATCCCACAATCATGTTTGTTTAGTAGTCTTGACTAAAACCTCATACATATATCATCTGAATCAGTGCCCGAAACAGCATGCATACCTTCTATAGCTCATAAATGTTAATGGGTCTGTTTGGATCAGCGATTAGAAAAATAGTTTTTGAAAAAGTAAAATTAGATAAAAACTAAATGGGATAAGATGAATTATATTTAGATTAAAATTCAGAAAAGTTAGCTTACAAAAGTAAAATTAATAAAAATTTATTTGAATTATGGTTGAATAAAAATAAATTTATTATAAAATAACCAAAATAGGTATGAGTTTTAATAAATAATAAAACATGATTAAAAAATAATTTCATATAATACAATAAAATTAAAATAATTTAATATAAAAAAATCAAATTTAATAAGTGAATTGAATTTTAAAACTTTAAAGAAATCATAAAAAATATTTTAAATATAAAGTGAAACATAAAAAAAATTGAGATAATACAATACATTTAAATTAATTTAACATGAAAAAATTATAAAAAATAATTTAAATATAAAATGAAACATGAAAAAATAAAAATACATTTCTAAAAGCATATTTAAAAATAAAAGTATATTTCTAAATTATTTATTACTTTCAACTAATTTTTTATTATCTATAAATTAGTTATTTAAGACTTATAATAAGAACCAAAAGAGATAATAAATTTCTTAATTTTCTCTCTCTCCATATTTCAAAAGCTATAACTCATAAATTATAAGTCATAAACTGTTAGTTTTAACTATAGTTTATTATAGCTTTTCATATAAAAATCATATTGCCCAATCACTCAACAAAACAGTATTGATTGGTCAAAAAAAAAAAAAAAAACAGAAATTTGCAACCGTGCTTTTCAGCCTTATAAGCCGCTTATGGTGCCTAGAACGCCTAGCCAAACAGGCTGAATTACGTTTCTCTTAAACAAAGATAACATGAGGTCAGTACATAAATCAAGAAAATATTGATCGTCACCGTTATCTTGGGCTTGAGCACATGAAACAAAAACAGAATCCATCTTATGCGTAATAATTCAAGCTTGATTTCTTCTTCGCTTGGACTTGTATTATCCCTTCATTGAAGTCCTCGTGGTTCACCTGCAATTAGACAGAAAACAGTTAGAAAACCATAAAAAAAACAGCCCAAGTGTTTTCTCATTCTGCCCTTCTGCTTTATGTGAATTAATCGACATGTTTAACGACATGTACATTTGAGCGTGGATCCGACAAAATACAAAGCAATGTTCATTTGGTCACAAGCGTAGATCCAACAAAATAAGCTTTGGCTACAATGATCTCGATAAATATTTATCGTTCACTCGAAACTTAGGAGTTATGGCAAAAGCAGGCATCAATCGAAAAATAACGAAGAACTTGAAAGAGCAATGCGTACACAGTAGTCATAATTACATGATTAATCATGATTATCACCTTTATTGTTGCATATATTACATCAAGCCAAAGAACAAACCTCTGTAGCATCTCGACGAAGAGCCAGCATGCCTGCCTCAACACACACAGCTTTTAGTTGTGCTCCATTAAAATCATCCGTGGATCGAGCTAGTTCCTCGAAGTTGACATCTGGATGAACATTCATCTTACGAGAATGGATCTACAAAATATCAATTAGAAGCCAATCAGTGCAAATTTCGCAAGATAAAAGTGCGTGCATATAAAGTTGCGAGAAATGAAACCTGCAAAATTCGGGCCCTTGCTTCTTCAGTTGGATGAGGGAACTCAATTTTACGATCCAATCGACCTGAACGCATAAGAGCAGGGTCCAGGATATCTGCACGATTTGTTGCAGCTATCACCTACATTTTACGAGATGAATGAGAATGGCGATCCAACTTGGAATAAAAAATGGAAATAAAAATGGGCTTAAGGGGCCAACTTCTAGTAGATTTTACAAATCAGAACTCTATCAAAACATAAGTCAGGACAACAAGAAACAAAGACAAACCTTAATACGTTCATCACTACTAAAACCGTCAAGCTGATTGAGTAATTCTAACATTGTTCTCTGTACCTCCCTATCTCCACTTACTTCACTGCAGTCAGGCACAAAATATCATGTCAAAAGATTGTCAAACTGCAATAAATAATTCAACGGCAAATCTACACAGGTATAGGCCTAAAATCCCGCTGTTGGTCCAAAATATAAAAATCGAAATTCCTGCCTCCTTATAGTTATACCTATCAAAACGCTTTGTGCCAATGGCATCAATTTCATCAATGAAAATAATGCATGGAGACTTTTCTTTTGCCAGTTGAAAGGCATCACGGACAAGTTTAGCCCCGTCTCCAATGAACATCTGAAAAATATCAGGATTAGATAAGACCATTTTTAAGTGCAAACCCATTATAGAGACAATTACAAACATTGAAGAAATCCATGCACACAAAAGCTTGATGTACTGTATTTTGTGATGAAGAAATACAGATTTCTATCAAATATGGGTTGGAGGAATAGAAAATATATCCAAGCATTAGTATCAGAAATATGTAAGGGCTATAGATGAAACGATCTGGATCCAACCTCTAAGAGTCAAATATCAACTCGAATTGCAAAAGTCAAAACAGGAATAAAGATTGGTATAATACTAAAAGCCTTGCTCGGCTCTACTGAAATCATCAAGATTCGAATTACTAACTTTATCCGAACTTACAACAGCAACCAACGAGTAATAATGGTATTACAAAATATCAGCCTTGCCAAGAAATTTAAAGTAGGGGAGCACAAAGTCAGGGACTGTCATACCTGGACCAGCTGTGGGCCCGCCAGCTTCAGAAAAGTGGCATTTGTTTGTGCTGCACAAGCACGGGCCATTAATGTTTTCCCTGTCCCAGGAGGACCATACAAGAGCACTCCCTTTGGTGGACGAATTCCTAACTTTTGGAAACGCTCTTTGTGGGTCATTGGCAAAACAATGGCTTCCACTAACTCTTGGATCTGTTAAGAAGAACAAAGAACTTCAATAACCTCACCATAACTAAAAAAAAATGCATTTTTCATAAACCATTCCAATAATTAACCTCACCTGCTTCTCTAACCCACCAATATCATTGTAGTCCTCCGTTGGCTTCTCATCAACTTCCATAGCCTTTACTCGTGAATCATACTCAGAAGGCAAAGTATCCAAGATTAAATAACTGTCCTTGTTAACACCGACCAGATCACCAGGCTTTAGCTTGTCCGGGTCAACAAGCCCAACAACAGGAAGAAAAATTGTCTGCAGTCAGAAGAAACACCATTTAGTTCAAAGTTGCTGTAACAAGCACTACGGGATTTTTTTAATTAAAAAAATTGGTCCTAAATACATTTGAGGAAGAAAACTATATGAAAATGAAGCAATAAAGAAATTTTATTAGATCCTGGAGTTGACACACACACACACACACACAACCCTTCCACTGGCCCAAAAGGAAAAAAAAAAAAAAAGAGTCAGCAGAGTCACCTGTCGAGTAGATGTCTTTAGCACCACGCATTTGCCCTTCCTTTGTGAATCAAGATCAATATTGGCACCATCTTCTTCAGCTTCATCTTCTGGGTTCATTTCCAATATCTAAAGCAAAAAAATATCATATTATAATTTAAAAAGACAGTGCAATATAACAAGAAACCTAGCTCAATCTCCACCATGAAACTGCCCCTGGCATCAGCAAATTATGCTGAGATTGGAAGTAGGGCATTCACCATCCTTCTATACATTAGAGGATAGAGAAACGAAGCAACTCAAGATTGGACTAATAACGATAAATATTATAATAGAAATCATTACAAAACACCCTCTTGAATAGCTGAAATCATGCTTTACATAACGAATGGTGAGGAACAAGTAAATATATGCTCTAAGACATGCTGGAAAACTTCTAAAAAAACCACTTTAAAGGCGATGTGCTCGTCTCTTCCCCATCGAAGAAGATATGCCTTGTGCAAAATCTTATAGGGATATTTTCATATTCATTTCGCATTCAAAATCTCTCAATTCTGGAATGGAGATGCATTTTTCAGCACTCAAACGTAGGAGGCTATAATATTAATTTTTTTTAAGAATTCTTTAGTATACCATTCACAGCTCCATCAATTTTCGTTTCTTAGAAACAGCAGTTCAAAATATATATGACCTGAATGACCAGTATTCGTATTCAAAAAAGCTAGGATAGAAGCACGGTTTAAAGATTTAAAAAAAAAATATTAAACAAAATATAAACAAAAGCAGTAAATTACCTCTACAATGTTGCCTACTAGGTACGGCAATTGCTTATTGAGCTTAATCTTCTCCTGATTCTCTTTTATCTTCTCCTTGAAAGATTCCAATTCCAGATTAGTCCTTTGCAACTCTTCCTACAACACCGTAAAACGAGCCAAATTTAGAAAACTTACAATAAAAATGGTAAAAACCAAAAGTGACAGCAAAGGTATCCTCTGCTCTCATAAGATAGAGACTCTTAGAAACTAGACAAAGCCTCGAGATATAAGCTTCTCCAAAAGGAACAAATTTTATTCCCCTGAAAACGGGGAGACGAGATCAACGCAATCAACCCTAAGTAAACCCTAACAGACAAGATCGAAGCAGCATGACTGGATAGATAGAGTTCAATGCGCAGGCGAAAACCAAAAGTTAAAAACTAATAGATTGAGAAAGAGAGGTCGAGCCTTGAGGATGCGAATCTCGTTGTCGAGAAGACGAGAAGCTCTGACGATGTCGTCGGTTGTCATGGAAGCCAACTGATCATCTTCAAAGTTGGTATCCTCAACCATGGAGGTCGCCATTAACAAATTTCACTTTTACAGAAACCTTCGTGGTGCAATCAAACTAAGGGATTCAACAGAAGAATGCGAAAAGAAGAGCAAGAATAACGGACAGAGACGAGCCAAGGGTACTTGTTTGGTAGATTTTACCGCTGGATAAATTATAGAATGCATTGCTATCACTAATATTGGGAGAAAAAAAAAAAAAAAAGAAACAACAACATCACCAACAATTACCTGTTCGGGAAGAAATCATAAAATTCCCTTCTTCTTTTTGTCCTTTTCGGCAATGGGCCGAACCTTTGTTGGGCCTCATTGCAAATCACTTGTTATGATCCTAATATTAAAAATTTGAGTCGGCGTTACTTTCAGGCCTGTTGTGACGATGAAAAAGTTTTTCAGATGGGTAGAAATGAAAATGAAAATAAGTTTTACTATAATTTTATTTTATGTTAATTGAATGAAAACAACGTAATAATAGGAAAACATGGACTCTTGAAATCTGATACTACCAATTTTAATTGATCAGTCTTCAGATTTAAATTTAATTAAATTTATATTCACCTAAAAAGGCATGTAATTTGATGGTTTGCCAAAACAATATGCATTTTGCGTTTGCAGTCATTTTTCAACTCAAACATTTTAGTTGTCATTTACTTAAAGAGAAGAAAAAAAAACCACACTGACCAAAGCGTCACAACTTCTATATTCTTTCTAAAGCATAGTCACATGGAACGAGTGCGGTTATGATGCATCAGGGGTTCACGGATCTACTGAATACAGCAGCATTCTGAGTGAAAATTAAATCACACCAATATAAAATTCAAAGCTTCCAATAAACACCCAGTCGGTGAAAAATGCCAGCAACGACAGCCCAGAATAGAATCTCTGCAAATATAACATAGAGCAGAATGCCCACTCTCATGGAGTGCCATACTTTGATGAAGACGTGCTTTTGGATCCAATATATCTGCTCATGAACAACAAATCACAACATCGATAAATTTGCAAGTGGTCAGTCATATTTTGATCGAGCATATACACGTCCTGGAGAAGACCGAGTCAAACACGAGTAATACTTTGAAAAGAGCAAGGCAGAAAAGTATTCATAGTTTTTTTTTTTTTGTTTGGCCAAAGAAAAGTATTCATAGTTATGTGAAGAAATTTATCCACGCAACTGTAGAGCAGATCAAATGTACGTAATTTGGATAAGCCTTCCCAGGAGTGTTGCAGGGGAAGACCTCCTTAGATAAAGCAAGATCCATAGTTTGGCTGTTAATTAAATGACCTATGCAACGTCTGTTCATGAGGGGCACCAGGACCCTTAAGGATAGCAACATTTTGTATTGAGATTTCAGAGAATAATTTAGGATCTGGATTTCGACACGTTAATATCTCAAGAATACCCAGAATTGTAGACGGGAAGCCTTTTACAATAAGACGAAAGCGAAAAGAGAATTAGATGGGATAAATATACCAGCGTATTGTGAGGATCATCATAATACCACCCATTAATAAATGCCGCAAAGATTCCTTCAGCCGCCATAACATAGACAAGCATGGCGTTCATACCAATCCATTTGAAAGGCAAGAAGAAGCATTTCAAACCCCAAATATCGACCTGGCGAGACAGAGTAGCAAATTTCTGTTAACCCTACTCAGCGGGAAACCAATATAACACTAAACACATGGGTCAGCAAAAGCAAGCAAAAAGATGAAATCTATAACGATAGAGAGGCCGGAAAAAGTATCAGTGTTAATGAAGAAAAACATACCACAATATAGAAGGCAGAGAAAACTAATGCTGCAGCTCCAGATGTTACACAAACATAACTGAGCGTGTATAACTGTTTATTTAGAGGAATGGCTGCAGTAGAAAGAAAAGAAGAAAAGGGATGGGATCAGAATAAACGGGTTAGATGACGGCACAGTCAGTTGCGGCGTGACAGAGTTGACAGTTCACACCATGAGTGAAGTGAAGAATGAGTCCAGAAATAAGGAGAGCCAAGCCCATAAGAAGCCAGTGCTTTAGCCTAGAAGCATGATCCTAAAATGAAGGAAGAAAAAGATAATTCAAGCAGTGATCAATTGTTATGAAGCATTGATTAGTATTTGGTTCGGAGGCTTGACCTGCAAGTGTACTAGTACATGTCCAAAATGCAATCCGATAACTGTGGACAGAACAGCAGATATTGAGCTGCAGTTGCATAGCACTAAAATAAGTAGTCCAACATTGCACAGTATGCTCGTTCACAGTGGCCAAAAATTTAAAATAATAAGCAAAATTAAAAAGATTGGAAGCCCCTCAAATTATTTTCTCAGTCGCAAAGGATAAACCACGTTCTCTAGTTTGATCACATTTATGATAGGCTATAGCTTTAGCATAAACAGTTATAACCTGGTCCAAATCTAGACATGATATAGTCATTAAAAATATAAGGACCATATGCAGACCTTAGGATTCCTTCCGGCTCAAAAGAAGCATAACACCAGGAAGGAGCACTTCTTTTGAAAGGCCCCTCATATGGGGAATTCTCATTACAAGCCTGTAGCATGTTAATAAAAGATGGTAAATGTTGCAAAATGATCATAAAATTAGTGTTGCAAAGGAATGCCAGGGAAAAAGTTTCTGGGTGAAAGTGGCTACACACTTCAGACCTCCTCCAAGCTGGACGCATGTACATGTGATTAATTCCGAGCACTTCTCTGTCAATATATCCCACAGCGTTGCAAGGGGGATCTAGTTTTCCTCTAACGCCACAGACTACCTAAAATTACAGAGAAAACATATTACAAGGGAAGGGACAGTCGGGAAAAAGGGCAAAATTTGAAGCATTTCAACCATAATGAAGCAGTTTTTCCGAAATACCCAAGAATAAAAATAAACTTTTCATATCATTTCCTTCACACCATAATGAAGACTTACCCTTAAAGTTTTGCCGTAATAAACGCTGTCAGGGTTTTGGACAGTGAATTTCCAGTCTGGGACAAATATTCCATAAAGTAAAGCCATGTACACAATAAGTATGCATGCTGCCACCAACCTGAAATTTTGAAGGTGGATAAAATGTCAAAAGGAGAACAGCATTCCCAATCAATCCGCAACTATGATATGACACTAACCAGTGCCAATAGTATAATTCGAATAATGAAAGTTGGGTGGTTGCCTGATCTTCAGTTTGTTCACTCTTCGAATATATTTCCACCAGCGCTACAATCAAATATGCTAGGGCAATTCTCTACACAGGGCAAATCCCCGAGTTTACTCCAGTTGTGTTCGTTGTTTTTGGCTAAGATTTTCTGCAGTAAACAAGAAGCAAAAAAAGACTAAAATCACCTGAAGAATGCCACACCATCTTATGCGTCTCATGTCAACTCCATATGATAGATTGTCCGGAGCATGTGAGAAACCACCTTCATTGCACGTGAAGCTCGGTTTTATCATCAAAATATAGCATAATGTGGGCTACCGGGAAATTCATCATCAACATCAATTTTCAATTCGTGATGACTTCCACTTGATCGCCCAATGGAAGATAGTGATAATTTACGAAACTTGTGCAAACACTGATTTGATAGTTCATTGTTATCATCCCCTCGTAGACATGGTCGTTTTTTCAGAACTTCAGATATTAATTGCCTTTTCAAGACTTTAAATCCAACAGAAAATGTTCACGAGTCATTTAAATGCGCCAGAACAAGATATTATTTATTTGCGTTACTTTTCCTCCCTTTTGAGGAGAAAACCTAACCTTGTAAAAGCAGACCCCAGAAGAGGAGTTTGAATGTCCTCGTTAGCACCTTTTTCACAGCAAGAAGTCTATTTGGTATTCTCTGAAAAGTTAAAAATAGAAGTATGAAGACTTGAGGGAAATTGAAATTACGTAAATCATTCGGGATCAGGACCTTTTCCTCATTTACAACACAATTGACTAACCTTGAGAGCTAGTGGAATGGCCATCCCCACAATGAACAAAAAGAAGGGCATTACAAAATCAGCAAGGTTGCACCCATTCCATGGCGCATGACCAATCACAGGCCATTGGCCGCCCGCGTCATCTACCAAGATCATTAGCTATATCGCATATTACCATAACACGTTAGAGTACAAATGATGTGAGGTTTATAAAGAGGAAACTTATGTAAACCATATTCATAAAAGTAAAATGACCTTAAAAATGTCATTAGGATTGTTAGTTGGCCTGTCGAATTAAGTACATATGTTCAGGTGATCCCGAGATCGCAGTTTTTCCGGCAAATCATAATTCTTTGAAACTTTGAAAAGAAGATTAAGTCTATTGTTCTAATTAAACAATTGGTTTGACGGTCATACGATGATTTTCACTTTGAAAAGATAGTAGATTTTCAGCTCAGCCACTGCCCAACGTTCTCGTTTCTATAATTTAAGAATTGTTTAAATAATTATGGATGAGAGATAGAAGAAGCACCCCAACAGTAAGACCACGGAAGATATCGAGCGAGGCGACGCGCTTTGGCTTGGGCGGCTTCTCGTCGGAAACGCCCGGCTCTGAAACGACAAGAGTGTGCCGGAGAGCTGAATCGGCTTTGATTTCCGCCATCGCTGGATTCTTTCTGAGACAAAAAATGGTGCGGTCACTCGAGTGCTTTCGGAGGCTGGGCTCAGCGGATTCGCCTCCGAAGAAAAAATAAGTACAAAAATTCCGGGTGAGTCCAAACAATTTGGACTTATGTGCTCCTATGGGACCACAGTATGATTCCCATATCGATTCATATCTTATTCTATTATGATACGACTTGAGCAAGTCAACCCTCAGGATTCATAATACTGATACGTGTGTCAAGCAAAGGAAGACAACTACGAGACGCCATCTAACTTTTTTTGACCAGCAGACGCCATCTAACTTGCAAAGCCCAAAAATGGAAAAAGATACTCCTCCAAATATAACGCGAGTTAAAAATTTACAATATAAAATCGCGCTCTCCTCGTTCAGAATGAGAATGAAAAGAGGGCACTAGGGCAGGGAGCGGGAAGAAAATTTTGAAGAGGACATCTTTGGTATAATTAGCAGGGAAGTTGTCACCATGTTACTTGGAAACTGGAAAAGAAGACAGAGAAGTGAAAGACGCTGAAACATTTGCAGTCCTTCGAATAAGCAGTAATGGAAGTGGATCACGGAAAGGTATTTTAGTTCCCACCAAAGCGCATTTCCCTATATTGTACCATCCTAGTCTGACTTGAATGATTATCCAACGAGTATTAAAAATTACTGCTTTCCCACTCATTGGTCCATCACTGTAGGCCATAATCACCTTCGAACAATGTTCAAAAATTGAAATCTCAGAGAAGTGAGGTGCTAATTCTACTTTGCTGATATCCCCTAAAATGAAGTCGTAGTGGACATGAGCCGATATTTCAACCAAGGATCCGAAGTGATTAATACGAAGTTTAATATTATGATGTTTGGCTGCGAGAGCTACGGGATACAATCTATCCAAGACCTTCCCTGAGCGTAATATTTCCCCAGATCTTTTATAGTATTTTTCAATGCGAGAGCATTTTTCGTTGAAGCGAAAAAAGAAAAGGCATTTTTGGATTGTTGCGTGCTTTTGTTGGTTATTATTTGAAGTGAGAAACTCCGAAGCCCAATATCAAATTAGTGAAATTACATAATGGTGGTGACGGCGGTGAAAATACTCATATTAGTTAATTTTGTTTTGTGCTGGGGTGGTTACCAAACAATCCGTTGTCGTCCAGCGGTTAGGATGTCTGGCTTTCACCCAGGAGACCCGGGTTCGATTCCCGGCAACGGAAAATTTCCCTTTTTCCTACCAAATCTAAGGGCATCAGAAAATTTTGCAAGTAGCCTGTCAGCGTTGTCCTGCCCACCCGTCCCATGCGCATGAGCGACCTTCTTTCTCCTATGGTCTCAGCGTTTTGTCGACTTTCCAAATTCCAGTTTCCACCGAACGTGCTTATGCATTTACAATTTCGGTGGTGTTTAGATGAAACCAAACTATAATTTGAAAAATAGTTTTTAAAGAATAGATTTTATGAAAAAGTGATTTTGAAAAATAAAAATGTTTAAATAGTTGTTATCAGAAATACTTTTTATATATACAAATTATTAAAAAAACACATAAGTTAATATGATAATTACATAAAAAATAGATTTTATGATATATTTTAATTTGAAAGAATAAAATTGTTAATAATATATTTTTTACCAACATAATTAATAATACATAAGATAATGTAATTAATAATTAATTAATATGCATATATATTTATAAGATATAAGATTAAATATGTTTATAAAAAATAATTTAGGGATGTTAAAATCATATTATTGTTGAGATCTACTCTGATAGGCACAATCATACCCTCCAATTTAAACCAGAAGCAGAATGTATTCACTTCTCCTGAAATTATGGTTCTGGGTTCCAAAACTATAGTTTTAGTCCAAATCATGGTTTCAGATTATTGGCCCAAAATTGATACTATTTGAGGACATCCCACCCAAACTATAGTTTTACCTCTCAAACCATAGTTTTAGAGACACCCAAACAGGCTCAAACGACTCTTTGAAGAACCGGTTTCTATACTATGACAGGTTATTCTATGCGAAAACAAAAAGTATTTAACAGCATATAAAAGTTATCAGACTCTATATCCTCAACGTGTTATAGATCTATAGTCCTATTAAAATTTAGAAGGAGGTTGACTTTGAAAAAAATTACAGAAAATGGGGAAGACAAACCTGGAAAACGGTTCCTTTGCGCAAATATAACAAGGTAAATTCCGAGCACGGCTTTTTTATCCAGGCGAGTTCAAGATTTCGAGGAAACAAAACACGGGCTTTTTGTTTCCTCGGGCCATAAAGTTACAAGGCCATCACAGTCGTAGACATTTGATTGAAAATTGTTGGATGCTGAGCACAACAAACTTCTCTGTTTTTTAACACAGGGAGACAAACTTCCTAGGAAATTGATGGATATTGAACGTACATGATTTTGGGTCTGTTTGGGTCAGCAAACGCTGACCCCAAAAGCACCTTAAATTATAATATAAACTAAGTTGAGCAACAAAGTCCGTTTGAAAGAGCTTAATTCTTATTGGGTTTATTTCTTTTTTAGGCTACTGAACGCTCAATGGAAATAAACTCCTGACAGGAGCTTATCAATTACTCTTCCGGTCATTAATATAAGACTCATTTAACTAATTTGATTAGATTAAGAAAGTTAAGTAAGTTAGTTAATTATAAGAAAAGTGACACATTTTTCCTAAAATATCATAATCATCCTTCTTAATACCTCATCTCTCTTTTCTATTTGATTATAGTTGAGGGAGTATCTATAGGGGTAATATAGAGAACATTGATAAATGTGAGAAATGGGTCTTATATTTAGGACCAAAACCAACTCAAGAATTGAATCCTATATTAAGGACCGGAGGAGTATTTGAGAAGAGCTTTTACCAAATTTTAGCCATTTTGCATGTCAGGAGCTTATCAATTTTTTTTCTCTCCCATCCAGCTTTTCCCAAACTCACGAGCTTATCAATTTTTTTTTTCTCTTAGCCGTTGTCAGGAGATTATCAATATTATCTCAACTCTTTTTTTTATGTTTCAATTTATATTTAAAATATTTTTTATGATTTCTTTAAAATTTTAAAATTTAATTCACTCATTAAATTTGATTTCTTCATATTAAATTATTTTAATTTTATTATATTATGTGAAATCAATTTTTTTCATGTTTCATTATATATTAAAACTCATACCCATTTTGATAATTTTTCAGCCAAACTTACTTTTACTCAACTATAATCCAAACAAACTTTTACCAATTTCACTTTTACAAACTAACTTTTTTGAACTCCAATCCAAACACAATTCAGCTTATCCAATTTAACTTTTACCAACTTCACTTTTTCATAAACTATTTTTCCTATAAGCTGCTTTTCCAATCGGTCATCCAAACAGGCACAATTTATCATACAGAAGCTTTGAACTCATAGTACGAGGAGCTTCATCGCGGATTCCATTATTCAATCACCCTATGGATTTCCTATAACCGCAAACAGGAAAATTCTCAGAACAGCACAAAATTCTCAATCGGAAATGTTGATTTGCCTCAAATAGAAGCACTAATTTATTATTTCATAGGTAACCAGTATAACAAGGTAAGGACACCCCCCCCCAAAAAAAAAAAAACCAAAAATACTCTTCCCCTCGAAAGAGTATCAGCACATGAAAATTTGATAATTCGGAAGTTCAGATCCCACGTTCAAGCAGTTCACATCGGCAGCAACATCCCCAAGATCATCTGCACGGAGATGGCATAACAATCAATTACCTGATCCTTCCAACATCAAACTTCATGCTATCTATCTTAATAAATAAGCAATGAAGAAAATATATGAAAACAAAACCTTCATATATGGTCCGTGCAAAATTTACATAATCAGGTATTAGATCTCTGTATATGATTCCACCAGGCCTTGCATCCAGCACCACAAGAACACCTGACAATTTTATTCAATCAAAATATATCATTAGCAGTGTTAATATTATCCATCTCAGAGCACAAGATCAAATCTTACATAACCTGAAAAACGAGGGGAAAAATCAGCAAGGCAAAGAAAAGGGGAAAAATTCTTAGCTAGACATCCAATATCAACTACCGCTACTTGATTCTGTTGGCGGAGTACTGTATTAAAGATCCGCTGCTAGCAAAATTAAGGTGTGTTTGGATGAAACCAAACCGTGATTTGGAAAAGTGATTCTAGAAAATAGATTTTGGGAAGAATAGATTTTATGAAAAAGTAATTTTGAGAAGTGAGAGTGTTTAGATAGTTGTTATCAGAAGCACTTTTTATATATACAAATTACTAAAATAAAAGAAATAAGTTAATATGATAATTACAGAAAAAATAGATTTTATGATATATTTTAATTTGAGGAATAAAATTGTTAATAATATATTTTTTATTAACATAATTAATAATACATAAGATATATAATTAATAAATAATTAATACGTATATATATTTATAAAATATAAGATTAAATATGTTTATAAAAAAAAATAACAAGATACATATCCTATAGGCTCTCACACTCTCCCTTTTTTCTCCAAAAGCAAAAAAATTTTGCTTTTTCCAAAAACCATGGTTTTGGTTTTTGGGTGGGTGTTTGGGTGATTTATTCCCCAAACCATGGTTTGGAGTGTCACCCAAACACAGCCTTAGTCACTCTACGTCCGCTTTTGAGTAGAATTAATTAAATACACGCAATAATGAGGGAAATGGGTTAAAAAAGGATATTCACTTTTGCTTAGAAGTTATTTGTGACAGTCACTAAATTGACATCAAGTCAACTTGAAGTTGAACTTGATATTAAATCCACAACCACATTAAACATCCAAGCACAAAAAAGTAGAGACATAAATAGTTCATGCTTGGACTTCAAAACTTTCTGCCGCAATACCCCCTTAAGTTTCTTCATTTCTATCCTAATAGTTAAGACAATGATTTCTCTGTCTTGAGACTCTGAACATACTTCAAGATTTGTACGTAACTGTAGGCATGAAGACTCAAGACTATGCATAATGCCGTAAAGAGACAGGATCCAGCCAAAAGCCTTCAGTGTCCCATTTCTCTTTGCCGCCGCAAAAGAAACAAAGGTGAATAAAATGAGTTTGACCCACAAAAGTGTATTTATCCCAGGGTATCATGAGCTCTTACAATAGTGACTTGTGAATAAAAAACAGAAAGCATAAATCAATTTTGAAGCCTTGTTAACCACCATAGTTCAGGCTTAGGCATATGCTTAAAACAAATTCAGAATTTGTAGAGTTAAGGCAGCTTGGCTGGATGTTACCTGGTGCCACCCAAGGTTTGCTGGAATTGTCAGGCAATGGAGCCAGCCAAAGAATATTTCGCAGGTTCATTGAATCATCATATTTCACTTTGGACCCTGAAAATACATTCCAACATTAGCAGAGCATTCAGAAAACCAAATGCTTTAAAGGTTTGAGCATTAGAAAATTGCAAGACAATCACTTGTAGCACTTCAAAATTTTTACATTTTCATTTTAATCTGTTGAAGCATTCATACTATTCAAAGACATGTGAAGAAGGTTAAAATTTTGTTTTCGCTAAAGTACCTTGCTGACAAAATCCCATATTGTATGGGAAAACTTCATCATATTCTGGGTATTCCTTAGCGTGGAATCTGCCAAATGTGATATTGCAAAATTAAGCTTAAAAATTGAATTACGTTTTTAGATACACAGTGAATAAGCACAGAAGAGAAGTCGCTTGTAAACAGAATAAAAAAGCAGGCGTACTATGATAAATATATCCACTTACAAGATACCGAGCCTTCCAGAATTCACAGCTAGAAATAGGTGACCATGGAATAGATCGAAACGGTTCAGCGTCACATTCAATCCGATAGATGGACCCCGATCAACAATGACATCAAACAGAAACTTTAGGTACCAGTTCAATTCCTGCAATTCAAGATCGTTGTTATGAATATTATTTTGTTCCTTATCTTTTCCGAAAAGGAGTGAGGTTTTGTTACACCAACCTCACTAATAAAGCGTCTGCCATATGGTGTTCTAGTGAGCTCACATCGACTTTCTTTTGATCCTTCAATATCAGGAACCTTGCACAACACTAAAGCCATTATTTCACTAACCAGAGTTGCACTTTCAAACAACGTCCAGAACGATTAAGGGAATAACATAATAAATTTAAACAAGAAGCCGGAGTTATCTGTCATCTAACAGATGATGAAACTTCTTGGTATCCTTAAATATAAAAATCAGTATAAGTATTGTATGCCTGTGTTTGGTATATGTTAATAACAGAGCAAAGCTGTCATCCAAAATCCTTCTCCACCGACATGGCATTCTCCCTACTGTAAGCGTCTCATCCCCACCCCAGAAGGAGAAAAAAGCCCTTGCCAGTTAAATGGAAATCTTGCATTTTTTAAGTGAAACATTTTGCTCAGGATTATAAATGCATCTGTGAGCTGCATAGCATACTCAGTTGTCCAACACAAATGAGTCCGATGTTTTGTGTCAAAGGGCTTCCAATTGAGAAAAGCATACTCACAGGAATTATGGTTGGATCGAGAAGGCGTTGAATAGTCGCCGGGTCACCACCAGAATCGACGGCGAGACGTGCGAGCTCTAAGACCGGCTCCGGAGGCCACCAAATTAGCTCGTTTTCTTCTCTCCGACTCCGGACAGTGGATTTTGTCAAAGCCAATAACCGTCGAGGAGAACGCTGGCTATGCTCCAATCTGACGTCTTTTGGAGAAAAAGGAACAAGGAACTTGAAGCAGGACCTGAGCTCTTGCGCCACGACAGGATTGACGCTCGAGGATTGGGACTTGGAACCCAACACAGAGAGCAAGTCCGAGGCAGTGGCTCTGGGGGTGGGCAGTGGAGATGAAGAAGAACGCTTGGAAAAGAATAGAGGCGAAGAAGACGATGCTGTAAGAGAAAATGAGAGGAAAAGTGCAAATCTGAAAGGGAGGGATGAGTTGCACATCACCATCTATGCCCTTTCCCTTTTCCCCCTCAAACTAAAAGTGGAATTGAAACGTGCAGCCCTAAATGCTGGTTCAGTCTGCACACCAGTTGCCCTCCTATGAGTATGCGACATCTCAAACCGGCAGAGCATGCGAAGAATACAGATGGCGGTTCGACTGCTGAGGCCACGTGTGGCGTTGGCTGATTTGTTCAGCGGTCTCTTGCTTTTGATTGTCGCCGCTCCCTTTCCTCTGTTTTTCTTTATTTTGAGCCTCGTTTTGTCTTGTCTGTTCACAAGTTACCTGCCGGCGATAATGAAAGACGGGAGAGTGAGGTAGCGTTCATAGTTCATGCTAAGTGTGACCTTTCCTTTTTCTGTTTTTATTTTTATCGAAATACTATATGATACGGAAAGAAAAGGGAGGATTGATGGCTAGATAGAGGTGTTCAAAGTCGACCCGTCCCGGTCGGCCCGTTCCGGTCCCGGTCTTATTGGGACGGGACGGATCCGTCCCGAAATTTTTCGGGACGGGACGGGACACGGGACGGAGTCGTCCCGTCCCGGTCCCTTTTTTTAAATAAAAAATTTAATTTTTTTAATTTTTTATAATATCATTTTTTTAATATTTTTTTAAGATTTGAGACTATTGTATGGAACTATGGATATATTTATTTAGAGTTTTTATATTTGTTAATGATTTGAGATTATTGATGATTAGAATTTTTTGCAAGTTTTTATTATGTTAAAAGCTTTTGTTTAGAGTTTTTAATAACTATTATATGTAATATTTTGAGCTTTTGTTTAAGAGTGCCCAAACAAATAAAAAAGATGCTTTTATAAGATTTAAGCTCAAAAAAAATATAATTAAAAAAATCAGATTTTTTAAAAAAATTTAAAAAAATTTAAAAAAATTTAAAAAATATTATTTCGGGACGTCCCGGTCCCGTCCCGGATCCGTCCCGTCCCGACCGGGACCGGGACAACCCCGGGACGGGCCGGGACACGGGACAGAAAATCTGTTCCGTTACTGTTCATCGGGACGGAACCGGGACGGGCCTGTCCCGGTCCCGATCCGTCCCGTGAACACCCCTATGGCTAGATTTGTATAGAGCCAACTCTGGTTTACAGAGAATGCGAGGCAGAGGAACCGCTTATGGGATTCCCAATTATCTTTGCACTGAGGAATCACTTATGGGGTTCCCAGACCGGCCTTCGCCCATCCGAGATATTTGAATTACCATTGCAGGCTCTCGCCCTGGACACAATGGTAGGTTTGGGGTTGGCAGGCTCATGATGTTGTTGATGAATTCATGTGTGGCCAATTTACGTCAGGTCCCGGACTCAATTCCGTGTGACCCAACCATCTTACAAAGAGCCTGTTCTGAATGTGATTTGATCCTCCAAGAGCTAGGTTGAAAGCCTAAAAATTTCAATTTGAGGCTTAGATCATGTTTAGGTAGCATTAGAAAGTCAAGTTAAACCCAAAGCCAATTTTTGGTGCTTTCAGAGTTATGCTGCATTTACCATTACCAGCATCTAATACTTTTCCGATCCTTATTATAAGACTCCATTTGACTTTTTATTTGGTCCTAATTATAAGACCTTAATCCATTTTGTCTCTTATATTTATGCATTTTTTTCCAAGATAATCCTTCTAATAATTATAGTTTTAGCCAATATACTTAATTAGCAAGGATATTTTAAGAATGACAACACTTATTTATTATAAATAACCAATTTAACTTACTTTCTTAATCTCCTCAAATAAGTCAATTGGGTCTTATAATTAAGACGGAAGAGTACCATAAAAAAAATAAAAATAAAAATTTACCTACCTAAATTTGCCTCCTTTCTCCCGTGTCTTCTGTTGTTTGTTTTCAGTCTTTTCTCTTTAGCCGAAGCGTGTATGCAAGCAAGTTAGCAAGTGTTTGGCTTCAAATCGCCATTGTCGCAGTGCGTTCTTGCCATCAATAGCTAAATCAGATTCTTAAGCGTCCGTTTGTGTTTTTTACTCGATCTACTCTGCTCCCGAGTTAAGCTCTTTTCAAATCTATGCCTATCCTACTCTTCTATCTCCTTTTCACCTATTCTGGTCTCGCTAGCATCTCCCATTTCGCCTATCAACTATCACATCCCTGGAGACTCGTTTATCATCAAAGAAGCATGTATTTCGAAGTCGAGGAAGCAGTAAGAATTTATTAATATGAGATTACGTCACAATCTTAGAAGGAAGCACTTACTTTGAAATATGCCTTAAAATACACGATCAATTATCTTGAAGTTGTAATATAGAGAAGGGCGAACCTATGATTACTTCGATAAAAATTTTGATAAAATGCCTCAATATTTATAAAAAAAAAATGCATGCATTAGAAAAAAGGGAGGGTGTCCGATAATTTCAGTACATTTAAACACATTTACGTTTACCACAAGTCTTAAGCCACCCGAAGCCAATGATTTACAAGCTGCAAGAAGGGGTGCCTTCTGCTCATGTCCAATCCATTGAAAATCACGGTGACCAGAATTGGCAAGAATACTTACAGAGGAAAGAGAACAATCAATAGAGTTTGATCAATGTTATGATTCCTCATAATATGGTGGTGTTGACTGAACATACTGCTCGTTCTCATCCCCATCATCATCATCATCATCATTATCATCCTCTTCAGATTCTACCCAATTGCTAGGGTGATGCTGAGAAAAGCCCTGACCATTGCCTTGCATCCCATCTGGAAGAAGAGTTTCATTATTTAGATATGGCAAGTGCAGCAATGAAGTAAGCCCATTGACAAGTGGAGTCAGCTCACCTTGAGGTTCTTGGACACGATCTTTCTCAGTTGGATGGTAGCTAATTGATCAGTCAAGGTACATTAAATTTGACAATTTGTCAAATGACAATGCATGCTAAAGTTACCAGCAGTCCTTTTAACAGTCTACAACATCTAAGAGAGAATAATGCAGTAAGGAACTGCATTCAATGCAAGCATTTCAATGAATAAACCCAACAGAATAATGCAGTAAGAAATCGCATTCTTTTTTTTTTGGCCGTCAGTAAGAAATTGCATTCAATGCGAGCATTGCAATGCATAAACTCTACAAAGTCTTCATTCTTAGGGTCTTCTTTGAGGTCCCTTTAAACTGCCCCTAATATTGAGTGAGACAATAAACGGTGATGCTTCAGATATTAATGGATAGAAACAGAGGCAACACTAGAATTGAGGATACGAATTGTTCTCAACAAAATTATTTCTTGCGGCTGATGCTACTTCTGAAATCTGCATTGTAACAATCCTTTGAATCTCCCTCTGTTCATTATCATTCAAAAATTTTTCTCTTTGTGCCTGTCTTTCTTCCATACCACTAGTATTTTTAGTTGCACTTCCTGCCCCAAAGAAGCCAAAGCAAATGAGAGTTGGGATTCTATTCCATGTCATTCAAATTATGATATTTAACTTGCCTGATAGGTCAGACCATATACGGGTGTGATCAGATGGAAGCTCAGATACATTTGTTTTACAATTTTCTTGCCGCACATGAGATCCACCCTTTTCAGTTTGAGCATGGATTCTGGGAGATGCCTGTGGAACTTCTGAGGCACCTTCATGTAGCTGAGATACCAACATGGTTGCCAAGACAAGTGTGACGTCAAAATTTGAATCAGGCCCATCTTCCAAACCAAATTTAGGTGCCATTAAAACAGGCCTGCAACCCATAAGCATTATTATCAATATAGAATATAAAAACTTTGATAAGCCATACCATTCATAGGCTGTATAAGTGTAGCTCATTTCTAGACTCTATGCAATGCATGAGTCCCGCATCTAATTAAAGAATAGAGTAACATCAGGTTGTCAAATACTAGTATCTTGGCAGATACTAGCATAAAACATGAGAAGCAAGATAATAGGTTTATAACTTACATCAACAATGTCTATCCACTGGCACATCAAAGCTATGTTTGGAAGAATAGAAGAGAGAATGAAATGAAAAGGAAAGTGATGGCAAGGAGAGGAGATTCCATCCTACTGCTTGAAGGATTAACGAGATAAAGAAGTGAAGGTAAGTTTGAAGTTCCAGAACAACCCTTATAAACTTTTTCTAATCAATTGTGTTTATGATTAGATAGTAGTCTACGAGTTTTTAAGAAAAAAGATAAGATCATTTCTTTCTTATGCCCCACTCTGGTCTAAATAAAATGGAAGGATTTGAGGGCGAGAAGGAAGTAAGACAGTTCTTCTCCATAAGCTTAAAAATTCCATCAAGGGAAACTATTCCACTTGCATCCCATCCTCTTTCATCTCCATCATTAACTAGCATCATAAAACACTACAAGAAATGTCTGCACAAATTTTATCCCTCTTTATGAATTGGGAAGATAATCCTAGCAGCAAACCACATTTGGAGTTTGTTGGAGTCGTGAAACGTGTTGTCATCCACACTCATCATAAACTCTAGACCGTTTATATAAAAGAAGTTCAACTTTTTTTTTTGGGGGGGGGGGGGCATAAGGGAAGCAAATAAAGACGATAACGGTTGGTTCAATTTCAGAATGCATCTTACTCTCCAGCTTTCTCAAAATGTAAATGGATGTCAACTTCACAGCCTTCACAGAATGAAAGAAAAGCCTGCAGTATGACAAAAGAAGATCATGCCCATAAAAAATTTACACTTTTCATATACAGTAGGAAGGTAAGAGAGAAAGGTTACCAAAAACCAAAAACAAAAAGCGGAAAAAAAGAAGAAGAAGAAGGCATTAATAGTAAAAATCAGCATGTCAAGTGACAACGAGCGTTATCCAACAGTAAGTAGACTAATTTATACATGACCTGCCAGCCCAATAAGATAGCTTCACATGCTTTACCTTCAGTTCTTTTACACTGAAAGTCACATCAACAGGGTCTCCATTATGAATATACTGTAAAAATTCCTCTTTAGGATCAATCCACAACTGGGTGTGTAGCAATGAGTCATTATCTGTCAAAAGGACCTAATGAATAAATAATAATATGTTTCATAAAGCCATCCACAGAACGTATTTACCTTTGGTTGGGTCCAAATAACTTCGAAGTTCAACAGCCTTTCCACCAATTTCACTTGCAGCATCAGAAGGTAACGAGGATGGTTCTGTTGCGATGATGGTAATCTCTTGGAGAGATGATTGAAAATTAGCTAGTAACCTGTTGAGAATTTGAGGCCTCACAACAAAGTTACTTGGGAATTTTTGCCTATCAAGGGATAAGTGCTGTATGTCAGATTCGGTATTGCATGTAATCCAATAGGTTTTCCTCATACCTGCAGTCAATAAAAAGGAGAACTTTCAAGCCCCTGCTCTACATGGAACATCGATAGACACTCGAATCAAAACGCCCACTATATCACCTAAGCCTTCAGTTGATTTCGAGTTGAATTGGCTAATATACAGATTGAAAACAATCATATTGCTGAAGTGCTTCAAAGCTTCCCAATAGGAAGTACGTTTTGTCATAACTCAGAAAATAACCCTAAGCTTGTGGCAATTGGCAGGGGGGGGTGTTTAAACAAAAATGGACACGGTTGGCGTGCTAGATAAGGCTGAGCCTACTTTAACGTCACAGTTTTTCTACTTAAAGGAAATCCTGTAATCAGTGTCAAGAAGGAGTTTACTTTCAACAGTGATAATCTAGTTAGGAGTGCAGATTAGATAACTTCAAATCCAAAAGCGAACCAGCTGCATTCCAAAACTTGTTATAGGGAGAGTTGCTGTTAGATGCCATAAATTTATTCATGGTAGTAGTCAGACTAAATGACAAAAGAAAGCATGCATACAGGCAGTGAATCTGGATTTTACCATTGCAGCATTCCAGTATCCACTGCACTTTAGAAGCGTCAGGACCAGGCAGTCTCACTGTTAAACGATCAATATTTGTTATAGGGGTCCTGAAAACTGAACAAATAGCCTGGCCAAAGTATGTCAATGATAAAAATTCCGAGATAAGCTGAAATTAAGTGACGAAATACCATCTCTCTCCCACCTTCAAAAGTACACTAAATTGCGCCAGGTTTCCCGATACTGTGTAGACATCAAAGAAGCCTGGTTTGAAGGTAATGGATTGATATGCTGATCGCGATGAATTGAGAGCGTGGAAAACAAGCTGTAAGCAGGGAATAGAAAGGGGGAGAAAGAAAGAGAAACAGTCAAAATAGGCAATTATAGCCGGCAATCACCACGTCACTTGCCTGGCCTGAAATACTAATTGTGCTTATTCTGAATGCCTGAGTCGTTTACATAAGACTCGGACTTAAAAGGAAGAGGTAGATGGTTTTATTAACGCGCAACAATGAGGTCTAAAATGAGATTTTCTGCTGGGAAAAAAAAAAAAAACTAGTGGGCCAACCAAAGAGTGGTGGAGTAACCCAAAAACTCATCCTGGATTGTAATCAAATAAAACTCACGAATAAATGGGATGGTCAGCATTGGTCTGAGCCTATGCGAGCGCGAGTGATGATGAGAAGTAGAGATGAGTTACTGGGAGAAAGAAAAAGAGATAGGGAAAGCGAGAGAAATTGAAGTACCTGAGAGGAAGAGGCTTGAATAGAAAGCTCATTTCCGATGCGGGCGAGACAAGTGACGCAGCGAGCAAAGGTTTTCAGGGCGTTGTCACTCAACGCGAACTCCATTAACCGACCTCTGGGAGTCGCGGGAAGGATGATCCAAATTAGGGCTGGCTCCTTGGCGGGAACGGTTAAATTACGGTAACGTCCTGGACCCGGATCCAGGCATCCAGCACCGTCTGCTGTTCGACTTGGCGAGTGAATTTATAACTAAGTAGAAAGAATAATTTGAACAATTTGTTTTTAAGCAAAAATCTTAATTTAATCACGGGCTGTGTTTTTTTTTTTTTGGCCAACAATCATGAGCTGCTAATCAATGGTCACTGTCTGAGCAATAATATGCCGTCAGAAACGTTTAATACTCAGTTTTTGGGATGTCTCTTCGACTCCCCGTGTTCTTTTTAATAATTTATACATAAAAATAATTTTAACTCTAATCATTTAGTAAATATTTTCAATCTTGTCTCTAAATTTATTTTTTTTTTAAAATCCAGTCCTCATTGCGTTAACAGAATTTTTTTTTTTTTGCTGAAGTACGTTAATAGAATTTATTATGCCCGTAATCATATCTATAAATTTTTTTTAATTTATTTTCCCCTGCTTTAATCCGAATGCACCCTTTTTTCCAACCATTCGAATGACGCCCTCCATTTGGGGTAGAGAAATACCTGCATTTATTATCCCTACCATTAGATTAACATCTAATGAATAAGATTTAATACACTATAATAGTATTATTATACTATTAAATAATAAAAATATCATGAAAAAAATAAAAGAATTATAAAATATTTTTTAAAAAAATCTACAGTTATGCACATTAATTTCTAACTACTTCAATATATATATATTTGTTGTTTGATCAATGTTATAATAATACTATTATAGAGCGTTAAATCTCAACCATTGAATGTTGATCTAACGGTATAGATAATAAATAGAAAGGAAGCCAAACCTCTCCCTTGAGTTTGATGCTGCCTGTTGATTTAATTATATTTTAGTGCCCATATATTTCAAAATCCTAATTTTATTGTTAGATCCGGTTTTTTTTTTTGGTGAAATAGATCCGGTATCCTTTAGTAGCTTAGCTAGTATGGATGCACATGCGGATAAGTTCTTAAAATTATACCATGACACCCACTTACAAAGAGTGTATTTGAAAAAATGTTTTAAAACACTTGTCAGTACATCTCATGTAAGTTTAGATAAAATTCTTCTTATATATTTACTTCATATTTTATAAATAACGATTAAAATATTACTTATAAACCATTCTAAAGAAACCAAAATTATTGTGTGATCTGTATTTTATTGTAAAAAGCAATACCAAGCCCTCAAACAATTACAATATTATCGACGCGCACACATGTATTAATAAATTTTTTTATAAACAAGTATGATGAATAATGAAGATGCTTGGATGTATAGACCATGACGATGCTAAGATATCTTTTCAAATAACGGTATTAATATAATCATGTCACTAAATATAAATTATTCAATAAAAATATAGAAGTATTAACATAATGACGCCAGTTATAACAGTGAGTCGCCGAAGGATAAAATAAATTGAAATCTTTTATTTAAAGTGAGATAAATTTCACCGGAGGCCGTCGGAGGGAGTATAACCAGTATCTTATTATGGTTAAAGAAAAAAAATCTGATGGGAGAAGGTCGGGGTGGGGAAGCCTTGGATGGGAAGAATCAGGTTCCCACAAGTGCAAGGCGTAAATTGTGCGTTTCTCTCAAATGAGAATATGCTTGTTTGGATATGCATGCTTGCTGATTGAACCAGACACCACTTGAAAACTTTCCCGGATTCTTTTATAGAGCTGATACGGTCCACTTTTTTTCCTCTTTTTTTTCTTCACAATGCTCGCTAGCTTCCTCACTGATCCACCGCTTTCCAAATCCAATCACTTGCATGCATTCACCACTTGGTCTGAATTTTGCCACTACCATGCACTGTTTGGAGACGCATATATAATTGACCAGACTCGAGGAATGTCCACACCCCACACTTTGAAGAGGCCGTCTCGTGAATTATATATTAATTAAAGACCCCTCTCACCATTTGGTAGCACTTGATCCGCCCCCGTGCTTCAAAATCCACTTCCACCTCTCAACTTGCCTCTTTATGCACTGAGGGCCCACTTTTATTGTTCCATCTTTCAACAACTTTAGCTATCTTGACACGTGTCCCTCCACTCTTCTTTTACAATGCTTCCCTTGCTTTTTATCTTTTTATCATGCTTGGCCCGACCAGCATCTAGACACCCGCAAAAATCAAAGTGATTCATGGAATATATATGTATGTATGTATATGAAACGGAGCATCATCTGATTGAGGTCTCTGTTTTAGATATAACCAGCACAATACGAAGCACTCCCGGCCTAAAAACAAAGTATGATACAAAGCACATATGCGTACCACACATTCACGATCCCTTTTAGTCTCCAAGTCAGAAAAATTATGTAAACTTTAGGTAAACACCCTCACACACAAGGGGCAGGTTAAGCACCGGAGAAAGAGTCGCATACACTGTAGGATCATTAAGATAAAAATTCTACCTACAGAAAAAAAAAAGGACCCTCCTTTTTAATTAAACTACACTAAATCCGTATTGTGTTCTTCTACATCTACTTGTTACTACAAAATCACCCCTCACGCTTGGCGATCGTACTCACATGACTGCGCATCCGTTCGGATTGTCGTCGCTAAGAAACTCAAAAGAATCCGACGGCCGCAATGTATACGGTTCGGAATCGTACGGCGAAGGCTCCATTCCCGTCTCGTCGCTTGGATGTACGTGGGCGCACGAATACGATCCTTTGGGGTTATAATTCGCTGTGCTGTAGCTGTTGCCGGCATATGTCGTGTGACAGTTCCCCGTATACGCTGGTGGTGCATGGTAATGATGTGGTGGGTAATGATGGCCAATGTCATGACCTGGAAGATTCTGATTGCCTGTGCTTGGAATTGGGACCGCTTCCAGTACTTGAACCTGTCCCTGATTCGCCGGTGCATCGCCAGAACGTTCACCGCCCCCGGTTCCACTGTTATTCCCCTTCTTCTTCTTTTTCTTCTTCTTTTTCTTTCCACCGTCACTTCTCTCGTTCCCTGCTTCATTTTCGTTGCCACCCGGCAGTGGGGGCTGGTTACCGCCCGATACAGTCACAACCTGCTTCACCTCTGTTATTGGTTCTTGAAACTGTACACCGCCTTCTCTTTCATCATCGTCTTGGTTGCTGTCTTCTCTGCTCTCGGGGTTGTTCTGTTTCTCTTGGTTCTCAGATTTCCCTTGCTTTTTCTTTTTTGAAGCGGACTTTTCAGGCCACAACTCTGCATGCTTCCCTGATTTTGTTAGCTTCTTTATCAGCGTCTTGCCGTCTACGTTGCCCTTTACCGTGACTTTCTGTTTCCTCAAATCGATGTTTATGTCGTAAACACCTGAACCTCAGGGCAGTCATGAGGAGAAACTTGACATATCATGTAAAACGAGAATTGTCCACCAGAACCCCCCCCCCAAAAAAAAAAAAAACTATCATAAACAAAAGTTATGTAAAAGCTGGATTGGAGAAGCTTAGAAGAGTAAGTTGCATAGGAATTTAATGTTTGGAAGAAATTAAATGAGAAGCACCACGATGGACCTGAGGGAAAAAAAGATGGAAAAAAGAGACTTTAAAGATTAGTAGTAATACCATCTATACTCTGCAGTATTTTCTTAACTTTCCTTTTGCAGCCTTCGCAGTGAATGGAGACCTTCAACACGTATGTCTGTGTACATGCAGAAGGAAAATGTTCAGAGCCTGATACACTCGACAATTGATTAAAAAGATGAATGAACCATAATGTTAACTGAACAGTGCCTTGCCTTGCATTTGAGCTCTATCTGTTCATCCACTTCTTTCACCTCCACTACTTTTGTCTCTGTCGCAGCCATTCGAACTTCTGATATATAAACTAGACTTCCGCCTGGGGGAAGGGTTGTCTGAAATTGATGGGATGGGAATGCTTAAAAAGCAAGCAAACAAGGCCTTAAGATATTGGCCTGAAACAAAAAACACAAAAGGAAGGTGGTTATGAAAAGAAGGGCCTTGGTAAGGTGGCAGTGGGAGGAAAACAGAGTAGACCAGAGAGTTCGGTCTCAAAATAGCGGGATGTGGACAAGTTTGATGACATTAAATTTTATTGCAAGTTTTTGTGTTGTGGACACCTGTCACCATCAATTTAGCATTTGATGCCTCATCACACTTTTTCCTTCTTCTGCTGGCCAGTGTCTGATTCCCCTTGATTGATTTTTTTTGTATAACGTTCCTCCATTTGTCACAGAAAACAGTGTTAATTAAATAAGGAGTCTAGTAATTTCGTGTTAGCTTCGTATAATACTAGAATCTCAAATACCAATAGTAATTTTGATGTTTTTCGCAGTCCAATAGCAATTACATCGTATTCTTATGAGCGTCAAATAGAAGCGCGCAAGGTTCTCTTGCCTATTACCAAAGCAACTCGTACCTATGTTGCTTTGATCAACTGATTACCCATTGTGACTCTTACGATTTCATCTTCAGAGCCAGGAAGACTAGTTCCAATGGCCTTTGTATAACTGAAACCAACTTCTTTTAATATTTTGTGCCTTCTGTGGCTACACATTTTCAATCTCGAGTATGGAAGTTTTCTACGGGGCAATAGCTACTTGATTCTTTTTGATCGTATGAAAGCTTACAACAGCATCACTTCACGTTCCCTGGAAGTGAATGCAAATACTTGACAAACCTATGTTTAAAATACAGCCTTTGATCTACTACCTGTAATAAACATGCATCAACAATCCTCACGCGAAAGAGAAGGACAAAAATTACACTGATTCTATATAACATATAATACAATTGATAAAATTTCGAACTAGTAGAAAAGAATCTAAAAGTTCTCCTTGTGAAAATCAAACTTGGTTGAGGTTTTCCTGGAAAAGTCCTGAGAAAGCCTTCTTAGATCCCCAACTAATCCATGCGCCCCACAGTAAAAAACACCTGAAAGTACACATGAGAAAATTGGAAATAAGTCGAGGAATAACCAGCATTAGACGCAAAAAGAAGCAATTAGTTGCAGAATATGGATTTCAGAAATCAAAGGGTAGAATCAATACTCACCGACTGTTTGGTCAGGGTGCTTGAGGGCCACATGCTTAAAGACATTACGCCAATTAGGTCTAGCAAAATGGGTTTTGACCCTTGTTCCTGAAACTATGTCAACGCCATTTTTAGCATGGTGGAGAGATTGAAGCATTGTGATCAGTGCCGATCGAGCATCTCCTTCTTCATAGACGCTCGTGCAATAGTTATGAAGCTCGATCACACCATCATTGTCGTTCTCTGTAATCTCGTTCATCACGCCCTTAAACCACTCGAAGGAACCTTGCTCACGAGTGACCCAATAGAAATAGGCCCTCTTGGTGACGAAAGGTTTCCTCTTGTGGCTCCTAAACCCATTCTCTACCGTTCCTTCTTCCGTGTCACTCTGCTGCTTAATGTTGTTTAGCACGTCTTTGAGTATGCTGATCAAAGGGGTCGCACCAATTCCAAGGCCCACAAGAAGGAGGACTTCATAGTTTTTGTAGTCTTGTGCCGGAGCTCCGTAAGGGCCATCAATCAAGAGCCTCGGCATCCTGCAATTGACAAGTGAGTTTCGACGGAGTCAGCGAGAAGTCATTTTTGACAAGCATATAGCTTTCTAGCTAGTTATATCTTTGAAACGACATTACAGATGGCTGACCTGGGTTTGTTGTTTCCTTGTAACATGTCAGCACGTAGGAGACCACTTTGGCCATCATTTGCTGGCTGGCATGCCTGCATCAATCACGTGGAGAACGGGAATTTAGTTATCAAAGATATTTGAGGAAATATATGTCCAGTTGACCAGTTCAACTAACACCAACTTCCCTTTTTCCAAAAACAGTTGTGTGCATTAAGGTTTACCTTGGCGAAAACAGCTCTGAGCTGCGATGTCCAGTCACCCAAAGTCCGAATGTGAATGCTAACGTAGTCATCTCCTGGAGCTGATGTAATAGAAAAGGGATGCCTGCAAATGCCACGTAAATGAAACTTAGCCAGTATCCTCGTATTACCCCGATTTTAGACTTAAATAAATATATCGTATATGATTAACATACCATTGAAATGGGGAGACATCTGAGCAGTTGACGTAAATGTATTGGCCACTGGTGTACTTAAACCCTTGTGGTTTAGACATGTGCAACGCCAATACATTCCCCGGGTAAACTGCAACCTGAGTTTTCAGAGAAGAATTAAGTCATTAAAAACGCCACCAGAAAACCGAAATCAAAACATAGGGATTTTTTTAACTAAATTAAATGTACCTTCAAAATTCTCACAGTTTTGTAGCCCGACCTAAAAGCACGAATCAGTCGTTCGCATGCGTACAGTAACATTGGAACGGCGAGATACATCCATGTCTGCGCCGAGAAATTTTGCATCAGCAAAACCAGCAAAGGATTGGAAGAAGATTTCAAGCAAAACACAAAGGGAAGGTTGTCGACCCTTACCGTTCTCTTGTACCACTTCTTGGAGAGGTAAAGGAAGTATCCATGAATGATGAAAAGCACGTAGACGATGACGAAGAGATGGTGGGAGTACCAAAAAGCATTGAAGCCGGTGAGCTTTTTGATAGTTGTGGGGAGGTTTAGCCTATTCCGGCGAAACCAAGGTTGGGCCAAAATGTAGGCTATGGCCATAAGTACGAGCATTACCAACCCGGTCCAACCCTCAGTCCCTTTAACGAACCACCAGTAATTGTTGGGCCTCTTATCCCCAAAAAATTGCTTCATGGGCTCATACTCGGAGTCCGTGGCATGCAATAACCTCGGAAAGTCGCAGGTGAGATGCGGTATCACGTGCAGCCCGACCCCAATTGCAACGCCGAAGGCTATCACCTTCATAAACGGATAGACGCCCACGGTATTATTGAAAATGAGCAGTGTAATTAAATAATTATTATGTACCATCAGATGAAGTAGCATTGTGGGAAGTACCTTGTGAAAATTAATGTTGTCGTCAAAGGGAATGATGGCGCCTAGCTTGGGCCTGCTTCGAAGCCAAGTAATGGTGTTTCTGCAAACAGGTAACAGGATGAGGGCCATGTTGAACTTGAGAGTCTCGGCGCCACCTTTGGCGGTTGAAACACAGTAGCCCATGACGTGGAACACAGCCCGGTGCTTGTACTGTACGAATTTCCAGGCAAAAAGGGCGGCGCATATGGAAACCCACAACGCTATCACCCAAATACGTTTCCAATTGTCCTCCACGAAGTACCTCAGCCGTCGAAGCAACCTCTTGATGGGGTTGCTCTCTTTCGTCGGCACTAGCTTCTGGCTCAGCATCTGGCTCATTACTCTACTTCCCGACGTTAAGTGCGCCGACTTTGCTGGCGCTTGCAGGAGCAGCATTTCCAAGTTGTACACCTGCAATGCATCAACTGTGAAATTCTGTTGGGCCTCTACTTCAGCCAGCCCAATAATAGTAATAATCCCAGTAAAACATGGATACCTCGATGTATCCCAGATTGTTGGGGTCCAGTTCCTCCATAATCAGTGCAGCGTATTCTTCCACGCGATCTTGTATTTTTGACAGCTTATTCGCGGAAGCGCTTAAGCCGATAATCTGCACCGTGTTTGTTCAATAATGTTACTCGCTGAGGATCCAGGAAAATCAGCAGTTGAACTTATATGACTTGCATTTTTTTTTTTTTGGTTCTCTTTTCTTGTGATAAATCTCACCTCTTTCACTTCTTCCTCCGTTATTCGTCCGTCCGCATTCTTGTCCACCCTGGCATATTGTCGAATAACTGTATCAAGTTAGTGAAATAACGAATGAAATTGCATGTGTCCCGAATTTGACATCTGGCAGTTATCCTTTTTACCTAATTCCTTTTGGCCCTTTGTTTTTTTTACCTAATTATTTTGACTTACAGATTCCGCCGTATAGTTCCTTTTTCAAAAGTTGTCGCTGTCTCTAGCTACATAAATTTCACCCCTCCACTCAACCCATACTCGATTCGTCAATCGTCATTCTGTTTCATATTTATTGGCCTGTTTGTTACATATTCAAAGCCTTCGCCCTCATTACAAGACCAGCTCGAGGGCTTACCAGTCAATTTACCTTGCACTTTTTCTGTAGGTAATGGTATATAAAATTTAGTCAACAACTGCACTCTTTGACCCTCTGACGTATGGCTTTACATGCCATGTCATTACATTGTCCTACGCGGAGTAGTTTAGCCATCCTGCCCTTGCGAAGGCAAAATAAAACCTTAAAAAGAGTTCACGGCCGAAGAAACTCTTTTGAGCAGTGTTTCTGTACAGAAAAATAGCAAGAGTAATCTAATTTTGTTTTTATGTTTTTTTCTTTTGTCTATATAGTTATAGTAGTACACTAATTTTGACTACTGTTCTTTTCGCCTAACGACGATCCAGAGTCCTGACAAAAAATCTCTCACCCTTCCCCAGTTTAAGCAATAATAATATTGTTAATAATATCCTGCTTCGTTATATTCACTAAGTGCTCGAAGGAAGAATGCGGTCAAAAATAAAAAGCTTACATGTCGAAAAAGGTCTGGAGCCTTGAATCAAAGCTCTGGTTCGTGATTTGTTCCCAAAATTCTCGTAACTCATCCTTGGTTATGGAAGCAGAGGTAATGCCCCTGCGACGAGCTAATGCATCGAATAATTCACCAGCGAACTCACTGGACTCCATTCCTGATCATAAGCAAGTTAATTTCCAGCTAGTAAGAAAAGTAGGCATCATACTGGAGCTGCTTAAATGACTGAAGGTGAGCGAGAAACAGGAGCATCCGATCTGTTTATCCATACCTATGCAGTGGCTAAAGCGGGTTTTGGGAAGTTTTCCATCAACAGCTAACTCGTCAAAGCGCTGCTCCACCGGCGACCAGTCGTCGGATCCGATGCTCTTTGAAATGAACTTGAGTCCTTGTAAGGCACGAGCAGCTCCAGACTTGGTCCGGTCCATCTTGTCGAACCTGTTGTTGGAAGAGGTCATGCGTCTGAGCTCCTGCGAGACCTGTCTCAATTTGAAGGACAGCTGAGAGCCCAGAGAGGAAGGCCTCTTCTCGAGACGGCTGGCCAGGATGGCCGTCTCGGGATCCCCGCCACGTATGTTTTGGACGGAAACAGAGTCATCGCGCACGTCCAGCGTTATTTCCACGTACTCTTGTTCATCCTTCTTTGATCTCTTATTCTTCCTCTTGGTGGACACTAATGGACCACTAAGAGGCCCACTGAAGCCTCCCGGAGTGCTTCGGCCTCCCGTGCTCGTCTCCGTCTCCGACCAAGATTCCTGCTGGCTGTCCTGAATCTCCATTGCTCTCGGTGCTGATGATGATCCAGATTCTGTGACTTTCTACGCAGTATATGATCCAGTGTTCAATGTGGAAGGGAAACTAGGGAGAGGTTAGAGTGGATGATCAGGGGGTGTGGGGCTCAGAAATTGGAGGGAAAAGGGAGGAGAGTCGAGGAATATTTATAGAGAGAGTGGGAAAAAGTAAGCTGAGAAGGGAGTAAAAAAGGATATGGAGGAAGGGGACAAGTCAGAAAAAGGGGAGAGTAATCCAGGGGCGGGTATGTGGTTTTGACGAGGCGAAATGGTTATGTGATTTGTTAATGCCTGTTTGTTGTTGACGGAGGGAGTTGTTGGGGGTGCCGCTTCTTTCTTTCCTTCAAATTAATCCCACTAAAGAACATGCTCTGAATTTTCATTCACGTTTCCTCTCTTTAAAAATCCTCTCTCTCTCTCTCTCTCTCTGTTTTTTTTTTTGGTATTTTACTAAGCAAAAACCAGAAATTGCAATTACCGTATTTTTTAATTAAAGGTTGAATTTTGCGAATTTTATTTTAACAGAATAATCCGGCTTCTAAATTATCTATGATGGTAGTTTCTAAATTTATTCTCAGGGCAGCTCGTGCAGAAGAGTAGAAGACCAAGAAAAATATTAATTACTGATATGTCTTGTAAAAAATTTTGTGTAAAATAAATAGGGTAATTAGCTAACTTACAGGTCATGGGAGAGGACTTGTGTGATTTTTTCTTTTTTTATCATGCCATGATTTATAAGTCTTCCTCTGACATTTGTAAATCAAAACAGTAATTTTATAACTTATCTGTGCCTTTTCAATTAAGTTTCCGCGAAAGGCCTGCTAGTAATAACTTAAGTTTAGGGGATTTGCCAATAATTAAATTCTTTGCCTGAAATTCAGTTTCCCTTATTCCTTATTCTCAAGTCAGATGTAATAATATTTTCCCATATTTTAAAAATAACTGACAGATCATCTCATCCCAAAAATATGTACCTGCTTCTCAAAATTACAGCGCATTTTAAGTTTAAACTGGTAGAAATAAATTTTTTTAAACACCGAAACAGTTATATTGTGCAAGTTGAACGCCAGAGTTCTCTTTCCCAACAGAATGCCACTTTTTTTTTTGGCCAAAAACAGAAGGGGAAAATTGCAATGAAGTCCCAAACAAGGAAAACAATTAAAAAATAAATCCCAGATATTGTTATTTTTATTATAGGACTTGTCATTATAAATTGCTCATATTGTTATTGAGACTTTTTTAGTATTTTTTTTATGAGACTTGATTGTAATAATGCCACAGTTAAATGACAGGTTCTTATGCCAATATAAGAATTTTTTTTTTGACCAGCGCCAATATAAGAATCAAATCCTTGATTCGTGGCCCAGTTGCATTAATTTATTGCCCTGAGGTTGAAATATGCATCGTAGATATCGATTTTTCATGATCATCCATCATTCCACCAATCAGGCAAAAGAAAAATCTATCATTTAATCGATTTTTATTTTTATTTTTCTTTCAATTCAAAGCTTACTATCCGGCCACCACGACTAATAAAAGGAGGGAGGCACAAACGAGACTTTTGGCATGTTCTGGGTAGAGAAAGCAGAAGCAGCAATGCACACGCGGATATCATTTCCGTTGTTTTTTCCCCCCTAAATCAGAGGAGTGGCTATTAATAGCTTAAAAGTTAAAAGTTAAAAATAAGATCCATTTTTCATTTATATGCAAAATTTTGTGTAACTAGGTTACAAATCTATTAGTATAAATGAATCCCATTTGTTTGATATACTATGCACTTGGATTGTTTATTGTAACCCCACTAAATTGTCTTTTTTTTTTTTGCCTGAAACCACGTTGATAAGTCAATGAATTAATAATTAATAATATTAATATACAATGTAAAATAATCTGAATATACATATAATATTTTTGCACAATATAAATATAATATAAGATATATTAAAAAATCATGTTATTTATAAGTTATACTGATCTCTCCAGTCCTATTTATAAACTTCAAATTTAGGAAGGGATATGATCAATTTTATAACTTTGGTTTGGGTTTTTCTTAATATTTAATGTATTTTTTTTTAATATTACCCTTCATTATTTTTTTCTTATCACATTTTTCAATACATTCTTTTTTTTTCATTTATTACGAGGTCATATTTAAAAACAAAAGTCTATTTCTAACATATTTATTGTTTTCAACTAATCTTGACTAATTATTCATTATTTGTGAATGGGATGGAGTAATTTTGTATAAAATATATGACTGACAGTCCTTTTTTTTTGTTTTTATAATTGTGAGAAATTGAAAGTAAACATCAGCGTATTTTGTTTATACTGCTCTTTGAATTCAGAAACGGTGCAACGTTGCTTTAGCAGCGTGTGAGGCATCAGTTGCCCTTGTCTCCATCTAGAATACGAGGCCACGGGAGTCAAAGTGGTGAGTCGATGGCTTCGTAATCTTATCTGGTATTTCATTTATATGATTAGGATCTAACTAACTGGTATTAGATGAGGGAAGAAATTTCTTATAATATTTTAATATTTTAATATTTTAATTAACAGTTGTCTTTTGGAACTTGCGAAATACTGCCTCCAGTCCTATTTATAAAAATTAGTTGACTAATTTGAAGAGATTAAAAAAATAAGTTAAATTGGTTATTTATAATAAATAGATGTTGTCTTTCCTAAAATATTCTTACTAATCAAATGTACTGATTAGAACTATCATTATTAGAAAGATTATTGTGAGAAAAATGCATAATATGAGAGACAAAGTAAATTGAAGTCTTATATTTATGACTAACATAAAAATTAAACTAGATCTTATATTAAAATCATGCGTAGTAGCTAAACGTAATTTGGATGTACTGCAGCAAGTTGCGGGAATTTGGCTATTAATATTCACAGTGTTACCCTTGTTCCCATAGATGTATAGGTTTTTATAATTGGCCTCGGCAAAAAGGTAAAAATAATACTAATAAGAATCCACATGCAATTAACCAGCTAAAGTCTGGCAAAAAAAACACGCGCACGCACGCGTTGAATTTGCTATTCACAAGTCCTTATCTCTTTATCCCCATGTAATTATCTTGTTTTGGTGGGCCAAAAAAAAAATCTAATCATCTTGCTTCGAAATTCGGAAGACATGAACATGGAGACCAACACAATGCCACGTGTCCGCAAAAAAAAAATCTACATTGTTTATTTTTAAACACTGCAAAACACTAAATATGAGTATTTTTATTACAATAAATATTCAAATTTTAGTTCACCATATTATAAGAAATTAGCTTATTCTGCTAATAGATAATAACTATATATTGTTTAATTTAGTGGTCAATTGGTGCAGAAATACGGGGCCGTTCAATTATGTCTGAATGACAAATTATTCTTAATCGAAACAGTTAACGGAGGATTATTTTCATTCCACACGCAACTAAAAAATCCATTTTTATATCATTGGAAGACGAATAAACAGAAGAATTGTCGTGCAAAATAATGGAACGTTATGATAAGTACGACATGCAATACATCTGTTATTCAACGCAAATAAATGATAAATTGACATTTAGATGTCATCTAAAGCATATTTTCCCCCTGCCATGGATATCATATCATTGACATAATGCACGGTTGCGCTAATTAAGTTCCTATCAGAGCTGAAATATGGTCCTTATAGAACATCACGACGCTCACCCAACCACTCTCGTTCTCTCTCACTCTCTCTTTTTTCTTTTTTCTTTTTTCCTTTTGCCTTAAAAAAAGTTCATCAGAAGTGACCTGCTATTAGTTTCTGCACAAAAAGCATAAAGTTAATAACGGTGGCGACCCGAGTGATTCACCGAGTACGAAACAAGAAACCCCTGTTCAAACCAGAAATCGGCTGGGAAAAAAAAAGAATCAGTTTTTCATGAAATGATTCTCAATACATCAGACTCTCTCCCCACCTCTCTGTTTTTTTTTTTTTGGGGCCATCAATCAGATTCTCTGATTCTACATACGGAGTGATGTTTACAATAAGGGTTGATAACTCGTGAGATCAAGTTGTGACGTGATTCAATACACAACGAGATATTTTAGGACACTTGCTAAACCATGCATGTGAACATGTGATTAGATAAAGGCAAGCCGGCAACCCAGTTCCCTAGTTCCATATAATTGATCCTAGGCATGCTCTTAATGGTCCATGCACAGCTGATCGAAGTCAATGTTCAAACAGCGGCTAGTTCTAAATTTTAGACTGCATGTGAAAAATACTTAGACACATACTTAATGTCCAGCAGTACTTTATATAGTGGGCCTTCGTTCAAAATAATTTAGACAATTTGCATTTCTATCCAAATGGTGTGTTCCCGTGTGATCGAATTGCACCAGCAACTCGTTGTGATGGGTGATCTCTAGAAGGCAGAAAAGTCAAGATTCGTGTTGACATTTTGCCCCCCCCTTTTTTTTTTGGGTGAGCTTTGGAGCTAATTAGTCGTGGGGGGTTGATTTATATATACGGAGGACAAGAAAAATGACATCGGGAATGAAGGAAAACTCGCCGGTTCAAGAATAGGTAATAATAACGCTGGCTGATAGTTTTCAGCGAAACCACCATTTATAGTCTATGTTCTCCGAACACACAAAGGGCATGAGAAGGGAAGTGGTCAAAAGTGGGTGAATGATTGGCGACTTATCTTGGTATGATGTGTCAGCTTGGAGATCCGTATCGTCTAAATTAGATGGAAGACGGAACGCGTTTGGTGCTCCGACGTTAATTTTTCCTCTTTTCACGCACTCTCACGCAAATGGAATGATTAGAAATTTTGTGTGATTATCCCATTCAGGAAAACCAAGAGAGGAACTTCAAAGAGCGAAAACGACGAACGGGGCAAAACCGTGTCAAGACTTGAGACTGGAAAAAGGCCAAAAGCCAAACGTCAGTATGTGCCTCGTACATACATGTCTGGTTGGAGTCAATTCATAAAGATGCGAAGTGGATAACAGCTGTCGTTAAACCTGGTCGTCTTCGAAAATCCCATGCGGGTGTCCACCTCCGCCAGACGCCTTGGTGATGGAAAGCAGTCAAATTAAACCAGACAACATTCATTTTCCGGCTCTCTCGTTTTCTTTGATATTACCTCCGTGATAACTATAAAAAAATAATTTACCAATTTAAATAGATTAATAAAATTAATTAAGTTAGTTATTTATAATAAATAGGTATTATTTTTTCTAAAATATTCTTACTAATCAAGCATATTAGTTATAACTATTATTATTACAAGAACTATATTAAAAAAAAGATAAATATGAGAGATAAAATATGTTGGGATTTATTACAAAACAAAAAATATATTTAAATCTTATATTTAAGATCAAAATAAAAATAAAATAAAATTTTATATTAAAAATCGGAAATAATATTACTTTCTATAAAAAAATTACAATTTAAGATGACGTGATGCGTGTTTGTGGAATTAAGACTACCGTGACCATTTTTAATTTTTTAATATTTTCCCCCACTCTGCCATAAAAAATAATACTCCTCTGGTCCTTAATATAGGACTCAATTTTTGAGTTGGTTTTGGTCCTAAATATAAGACCCATTTTTCATATTTATCATTTTTCTCTAAATTACCCCTATGGATACTCTCTCAACCATAATCAAGTAGAAGAGGGAGAGAGGGTATTAAGAAGATGATTATGGTATTTAGAAAAAATGTGTCACTTTTCTTATAATTAACTAACGTATCTAACTTCCTTAATCTAATCAAATTAGTTAAATAGGTCTTATATTAAGAATCAGAGGAGTACAAAATATAAAATGCACGGTAGTTTACGAGGGTCCCAATTGATTGATAGCGCGGCGGCTCATTTCATGCCAAAAAAAAAACGGAAGCACTTGCATGATCAATCTATCAATATGCATAATGCTAGTAAGGCTTTTCAATATAAGAGTTGATTTAATTTTTATTTTAGTCTCAAATATAAAATTTTAATATATTTTCTCTCTTATATTTTTTTTTAAGATAGTCCTTGTAATAATAATAGTTCTAGCTAATATACTTGTTTGGCAAAAATATTTTAGAAAAATAACACATATTTAATACAAATAACTAAATTAATTTTTTTAATCAACTCAGATTAGTCAACTAGCTATTATATTAAGAAGCTAATGTAGTACTCCTCCGGTCCTTAATATAAAACCCAATTATTGAGTTAGTTTTGGTCCTAAATATAAGACCCATTTATCATGTTTATCAATTTTCTCTAAATTACCCTTATGGATATTCCCTCAACTATAATCAAGTAGAAAAGAGAGAGGGACATTAAGAAAAATGATTATAGTATTTTAAGAAAAATATGTCACATTTCTTATAATTAACTAATTTACTTGACTTCCTTGATATAATCAAATTAGTTAAATAGATCTTATATTAAAAAATGAAGGAGTAATAAATAAAAGTGCAAGAAATCTTACCATTCAAACTCAAGTTCGGCGTGATAATTTTTTTTTTTTTCCTAAAAGTAGTAACCAGCAAGCAGGATTGTTAGAGAGCAACGCCATATTCGTTTTTGATGAAATTATCAAGTTTTTTTTCCTTCTAAAGCATATGTATCTTTTTATTGAAGGTCATCCTATTTGAGGTACTGTCGGGCACTAAATATAAGCACTTCTCTTAGCGGGAATTTAAACCTTAGTTCATCACGTTATAGGAGACTAACCCCTTTCGTTAAACCCAACCCTCGTTGGTATGAAATTATCAAGTTGTATGGCCGCTACTTACCAACTTGATTGCGAAACACACACATATTTTAAAGGTATGAAGATATAATTTAGATGTTTAGATGAAAACTAAATTATCATTTTAAAAGTAATTTTACAGCATATAAAATAAATATATAAAAAGAATTTTAGTTTGGCTCGGGTAAAAATAGTTTTTTTAGGTGCTTGCAACCCCATCATGCTTTTTCCAATCACCTTCTTGATGGACTTTTTTTTTTTCCTTCCCAAATTTCTTTATTTTTATCAGAACCTTTTCTATGGACTTAACGCAAGTATTCAGTTGGGCGAGTCCATCTAGCAGGCATTCATCTAAGGCTCTCAAGGCCCATATCCTACATCAAGTCTTTAGGCGATATGCAGTGAAAGCCCAACTAAGCATTCAGATCACACACAAACACAAATGTAGGCGTTAAGTTCAGATTAATGCGAACTCAAACCTCAGTTTTGAAACTTGAGATGAGTCGTACTACTAATGTTGATGTGTGGATATGATTTGAATTACAAATCTGTACCCTCGTCAGACACGGTGAGCAATATCCAAACATAGTACACAACATGTTATTGTTTAGACACATTGATCTATCCTACTCAGAAAAAAAGACACACAAATTTGCATCGGATTCTCTTACCTTTTTCTTCAGCTCCGTCCCTTTGTTTCTTGTCCTGCATGTCCTGCTACGTACTTATACCATATTCTTTATTGCTGTCTCAATTTCATGTCAAAAAAGAAATCCTCGTCTCATTTCAGGGCTTGATTCAATCTCCCTTTGATTCTATCCACCTCACAATAATTCAAGTAATCTGTCCTAATAAATGTGACGCGAATAATAATATAAAATGATCCAACAAACTAAATACTTTCCGCTCGGCCACAGATTTGTCCCAGTCCCTTCCAAATACGGCTAACCAGAACCCGATTTCCGTCTGAGTTGTTATTTTCAAGTTTAATCAATGGGTTCTATTAACTCTAATGAACATGTCATTATATAACACATCAATCTTCAGACAAGTATCAGCATCCATAGATTTTATATCGCGGAACGCTTCACAACCTCAGGCTCCTTCCGTCTAATGCATTAAATAATGTGTATGGTCAGACGATATAAATTATAAAACTGGTGGATGGAATCTGCTGCCAAAATAGGAAAGAACACGACACTTTTGTTATTCTCAAATCAATGAATTCAATTAAGGAATCTAATTAAGGTCGTGAAATTGGCAATGTGACCATGCCGCTTTTCTGTGTCTCTGTTTTAGGTGCGTGTGAGCGTCTTTGGCCGGGTTAGGCGTGGACACTGGAAAAGAGACAATAGTTCCCCCGAGGGCAAAAAAATCAACATCACTCCCACCAAACCGTGGATACCATATTTCGGACCACAAAAAACGGCAAAAGAACAAGCAATAGAAAGTTAAAAAACCTTTTTAACCAGATTTTGGAAAAAGATTAAAACCCTTTTTAGCCCTTCATAATAACACAATCAAGATACTGCAGATGTCTCTGGTATATGTTAATGTCGCACTTTTTTAGTTACGCTGCCAAACAAGGTCACATGTGAAGGTGATGGACTGTTTGTTCCCTCCCCCACATCGCCATCCTTCTTTCATCATTGTGGGGTTGGAGATCTCTTTGTACGGTCACCCGTCGATGGTTAGGATGGCCCCAAAAAAGGGGTCCCACTCTCTCCCCACCCCACTCCCTCGGCCTTTTGGCCCAGATCAATATATTATATTATTATATGACTTTTAGCTGCCACAAGTGTAATATTCAATCTGGAAGACCATGACTCAAATCTCATGTAATAAAAGCATTTGAATCCTCAACAATAACAAGAAGTCGAGAAGATGATGTGTTGGGGTAATTGTCTGTTTGATCATGATGAGCGGGAGAAGGAGCCTAACTTTTTATCTGACGGGTGGCCCATAATCGCATATAAGACAAAGGAAACAAGTGAAACAGGAGGAGGGAAATATTTTCCAAATCTGTGTTACGCATTAAGAGTGTTTTGCAGGGAAAAGAAAGAGAGAAGAATTTATGAGCAGGTGAAGTAAAGAAGACCCTGCACAACTACAACTGCCAAGTTCAGGGGTTCCTTGGAGTAGCATTAAAGACAGTGTTCTGGATCTTCCTCACACTACCGGATGCCAGCACCACCCTTGGAAATCTGATGCAACAAAAGGGAAAGCAGATTTCATGAACACAAAAGTTGCATTCATGTCTTGATGATTTTTGCTTGCACGAAAATGGCTTCTGCTTCCGAGGCGCTAAGCTCCATCCTCTTCATCATCCTCTTCCTATTGATAAGCCTATCTTTTCAGAAAACCTACATTTTGTCTGTGGATGCTCTGTTTCACCCGGCAGGAAACTTCCACATCCATGTCCTATCAGAGAACGGACAAGAAAATGACATCCAGATTAAGAAAATCTCTGGACAAGATGAGAATAATGGGAAGGGTCTTCTGATAGCGGAAAGGTTCAGAGCTTTGCTCGGACTCCACAGTTTCCAAACCCGAAGGTCATCCAATGGCGATTCTGAGTTTCTCTCTCCATCACCTTCTCCCTCACCTACCACTGAACTCGAGGCTCCATCTCCATCTCCATCCCCTGTTCCGTTACCGCATGTGTATGCTCATCACTTTCCTCCACGGCATCGTTCCCATTTCAATCCATCAGCTCACAAGTTTCAACATAAAGATAGAGGGAAAGCTCAGGCAGTACTAGTAGGTGTTCTTGTGTCCGTGGGGTTTGCTACAGTGATTTGTGCTGTTGGGCTTATCTGGTTTTTCAGAAAATGCAGAAAGCATGCAAAGAAACCCAAAAGGACGATGCCACTCTGTAGCAAGAACGGAGGAAGCGGCGGTATTTATGAAAACTCGTCAAGTCAGGTGGGTTTGAACTCGACCATAGATCTATTTTATCTGAATGCTTTAGGCGAAGATATAGAGCAACACACCTGCAGCTTGAAACAAACCTCTGAAACAGTAAACACAAGCTCAAATGATATCTCCATCCCAAAATGTGCAATTTATGAGAAGATGGAATTAAATCAAGAAGTGATCAGTTCAGGATATGATAATGCTAGCAGTTCTTCCACAAAGGAAATTCTATCTGTTCACGAGGATGCTGAATCAGTGAAACATGAATCCGAATCTGATGATGGTGAAGATAAAATTATTACAATGGAACGCAATTCATCAGAGACTGAAAGTTTTCATTCCTTCGCCGATTCCCACTCGTCAAATGTCAGACTTTCTGATGCTTCAGCGGGTAGTGTGACTGAGACGGTGTCTCCGTCGCCTCGAGTATCTCAGTCTAATTCTATCAGCTCGCCGATTCCATTCACGAAGAAAATTCCTCATTCGCCCCAAACCTCAACTTCAATAATAGAATCTCCTCAATCACGATGCATTACCAAACAGGAAGAGCAAAAGATTGAAACTCGTTCACAACGTCCCCAAGCCGCCACGCCTCCTCCGCCGCCGCCGCCGCCTCCTCCAACTCTACAAATGCCCTTGTTTTCTTTGCATTCTCTTACTTCTTCATCAAGAATATCCTCCGACTCTCCACTTTCTTTATCATCCCCAAGAAACTCGGATTCTAACTCAGCATTGAATATAAGTGGAGGAAATGAGTCGCCTAGTCCTCTTCAACCTCTCCCCCCGAGATCGCCACGTACCATTCCCCCACCACCATGTCCACCATCGCCCTTCAAAGGTAACAACAACGCAAAAACTCCACCTCCTCCGCCATCTCAGCTTCCCCAGTTTACGCCTCTGGGGAAAGATGGAGCCCCACTACCAAAACTTAAACCACTTCACTGGGATAAAGTAAGAGCTGCCCCGGATCGCACAATGGTTTGGGACAAGCTGCGAACAAGCTCATTTGAGTAAGTTGTTCATTCGTGAATAATGGTAATTATTATTATTTTTATATCGTCCTGTTAATCCTCATTTTCATCAATTAATGAATTTTAACCAGGTTTGATGAGGAAATGATCGAGTCACTTTTTGGCTACAATTTGCAAAATTCATTGAAGAACGATGAGACAAAGAGCAAAAGTCCTTCTCCAAGCAAACACCTACTCGAGCCAAAGAGGTTGCAGAATATCACAATCCTCTCAAAAGCGCTGAATGTGACAGCTGAACAAGTATGTGAAACCCTGATACAAGGTAATAATGCTAGTGCGCTGTTAATAAATTGTAATCATTTGCTATAATAGGAGAAGAAGTTTTCTTTATATGTTCCAAATTCCAAAATCCTCCAGTCTCTGTCCGCAATGGGGGGCACAAATAATAAAGTGATAATTTGCTCCATGCCGGGAGCTGAAGGATATGGCACTCAATATTATCCAATAATCATTAATGGTCTGAATCTTCTGACTAATAAGTAAATTCCACCACCCACTTTTGATTTAGATTATATAATAGCACGCATGTGGATTCACAACATTTACTGATGACAATCAATTATCAAATTAATACTTCTGAAGTTGAAGATCTTGTTCTTATGATCTTATCAACTGATTAAAAAAAAAAAAAGGCAAGGGCCTCGCTTTACAACAACTAGAGGCACTGGTGAAGATGGTACCCACTAAGGAAGAAGAGGATAAGCTCGCGAATTATAAAGGAGACGTCAACGATTTGGGATCCGCGGAGAAGTTTGTGAGAGCAATGCTGAGCATACCCTTTGCCTTTCAACGTGTTGAAGCCATGCTTTACAGAGAAACTTTTGAGGATGAGATTGTCCACCTCAGGAACTCTTTTTCAATGCTCGAGGTAATTATTAAGATTAGCAAGACAAACTTGTTTCATTAAAGGTTACCGACCTATGATTTCTCTCTTCGTCTTTTATTCAAATAGGAGGCGTGCAAGGAGCTCAGGTCAAGTAGGCTCTTCCTGAAATTACTTGAAGCTGTGCTGAAAACAGGAAACCGTATGAATGTTGGGACAATAAGGGGAGGTGCCCGGGCTTTCAAGCTCGACGCCCTTCTCAAGCTAGCTGATGTTAAGGGAACTGATGGTAAAACCACGTTGCTCCATTTTGTTGTTCAGGAGATTGTTCGATCAGAAGGAATCAGAGTTTCGGATAGCATTATGGGGAAAATCAGCCAGAAAAGCAAGAACAGAACAGAAGAAGAGAAGGAAGATGATTACAGAAGAATGGGATTGGAACTTGTTTCTGGTTTGAGTACTGAGTTGTACAACGTAAAGAAGACAGCGACAATCGACTTAGACGTTCTTGCCAGCTCTGTCTCGAACCTCAAAGACGGAATGGCTAAGCTGCAATATCTGGTACAGGAGTTACATGCGGATGAAAAGGGCGAGAACTTTGTGAATTCGATGAAGGCTTTCCTGAATTATGCAGAGAGAAATCTGAGGGACCTGCAAGGAGATGAAGATAGAGTGCTGGCTCGTGTGAAAGAAATCACAGAGTATTTTCACGGGAATGTGAGCAAAGAAGACGCAAATCCACTCCGAATATTTGTGATTGTAAGAGACTTTATGGGCATGTTGGATAATGTATGTAAGGAAATCAGAAGGTCCCAAGCTCCCCGCTGCCCAAATCCGCTCGCTCCATTCAGGTAGATTAGAGTGTATACTGTATGGTGTGTTCATACTTCATAGGATCAAATTACCGACAGATTGAGTGTAACTTTATTTTGATTTTGTTGGAGCGTTGGAGCATTTGAACCTCTCATTCCAAGTGTTTCACAATCCTGTGGGGCGCTGACTAATAGTAATACTATTCTCCTCTCATCCTCATAATTTAAATTTAAATTTGTTAATTTTTTACGAAAATTTCGTTTATCTTTTTATATGACAAATTTAGCCGTCAATCAAATAATGAAACCGTGCCCATGCAAGATGAAACGGTCCCTACTTCATACATACGTTTATATGGCATAAATGCCCTTGAGGCATCTCCAGGCAATGTATTATTGCGTGGAAACGAAACTCTGCTTTACATTGCCTTACACTCTTACAGGCTTAGACGTAACACTGACTTTTGACCCAGTCACGTAAATATTGCAAAGAATACATTTTGTCTTAAGAAATTATGAAGTATTTGCAAACAATTTAAAAACTATAGAATTGACTTTTAGAAAAAATATCGAGACAAATGAATGAGCTTCCTGGCATTAAGATGACAACTGAAGGATTGCTCTGCTACAATATCAGTATAATCGGTGACCATACGCGTCAATTTGAACAAGTTTCTCATTCTTAACGAAATCAAGATGAATAAACCGTCTAATAAATCTCGAAATCACGTACGTTGGAGAGTTTTGCCGCTAGTCTCCCACGACAAGTCCTCAGGTCAGGCCTCACTCTGATAGCTTTTCTCTTGTGCGATTTCTAGGAGTTGGCAGCATCGTTAACTTCCTATCGAGTTGCATTTTTTGGAGCCTCTGGCGACGAATCTCAGGATCTGCCCAACCTTTCCCCAGTCCGAGAATGAGGAGTATGGTTTGCTGTGGCTGCTTTTCGCCGCAAGCAGCATATCCGCCTCAGGGGTAAACATAGAAGCTTGCTCACGATTTGACTTGACGAATTTCAATCCCACTTCTGTTGGTTCCGGGTACTTAATCTGCACATGACTCTGCGGTCGTATAGTGTGATACAGTTAAAACCTCATCACAAGTAATAAAACTAACTAATGCCTAAGCACAGGCAGCCTGCAGGTAGACATCAAATCATATGCATGGCAGGCAAGATATGCAATTATTTTTGGCACAGGATTTTGAGAGTAAGTTAGGCTAACTGGCGTAGAGACCCATTTTATGGCATTACTTCGTGGTATCACAATATATTACCTCCTTCCGGGATCACTCAGCTGTAAAAAACCGGATTTTAAATTATAGTTAGAGCGTTTCTCAAGTTAGTTTGGTCTCACTTGTATATATGCTAACAGTTTCAGAATAAG